CCTTCTGGATGCGCAGCAGCAGGACCTCCATGGTGTGGACTCCCTCCTGGACATGCGAGACGCTGTGGAGGACAGTGAACGGCTCCCCCGTGTCTTCACTGAACAGAGGCTGCGGGTTCACAAATCAACAAAACGCAACTCTTTGGCAAAGTTGAGTGATGGCAAAATGCTATTAATGTTAATACAATGAGGCTAGTTTTCATATAAGCAAATGCGGTTAATGCGAGACGGGAAATCTGGGTCAATTTGGTGAGAAGACTAACAACGACAGGCAAGCTGTGCGTGTAAAACTACATTTCTGCAGACTATCTGAAACAAATACTAATTCAGCATCCATATGATGCAAATGAATAAACATTCATTTGTTTTAAATTTCTCCAACGTGAAGATTTGCTCCTTTTCCATAAACTGTAAATCAAAAACATTTGTGTTTTGGGCAAAACAAAATATTTGAAAATATACATAATACTTGTTTACTATTTTAGGACATTTTGGCACCTTTAAACAGCAATAAAGATAATCAATAGTTGGTTATGTTTCAGCTCTTGAAGCTTGAAAACCTGTGCATTTGGAATGAATCGACTGGCTACAATAGTGACAATAGATAACAAGGTCCGGCCACCTCACCGACTCGAATACAGTGACACGTTCATCTTTCGGGGGACACGTCTCAGGTCTAGTTCTCATCAGTGCATTGTGGAAGTATGTCTGCGCACACACAGATTCTCACAAAGACTGATGTACGATGTCACAGTGTGACTCATCCAGCAGCCTCAAAAACCCTGCAATCAGTGCAGACAAAGCAGGACTGTATTTCCACCTTTCCACCTTTGCATCGTTGGTTCATCTCTTCAAAGTCTTGAGGACCACCACAGGCTTTGTAGATTTTAATACCTGCCCGTAGGCCGAGATAAGATGAACCCCTCAGTGATCGGAGTGGGATGCATTCTTTGTTATAGAATAGTGTGCCGTCTGCATCTAGGCCGTTAATTGCTGAGGTTTGCTCTGTTGAAGCCTCAGAGAACAATGAGCAGGGAGTCTGGGTGTTTTAGCTCCATGTTGGTGATCTACTCAGGCCTGATGTGGGACGTGAACCGGAATGAATGAGGAAAACTCCTGCAGTGAATAAAAAGGTTTGCCAAGAGTTTCTAACTGAAGGCGGCATGATTTATCACGTGACGTCGGAAAACCAACCGGCACTTATTACACACCACTAATAGGTCAATAAAAGGTCATGGCTACGGTCACTCTCACATTATAATGGTGATTGTAAATATTGGTTATTGTGGGTTATTAATTATTAGGTCTGATTTGATGTTTTTATGCTATGGTTTTTATTATTTTTAAGATATTTTCTTATACCATTTCACTCTAATTTGTTGATTATTATTGTGTACTCTTATCTCCATTTTGTCTTCTCAGTTATTTGCAAAGCATTCTGAAGGTCATTCGATTAGCTTAAAGGGTTCAATATAAATAAAACCTGATTGATATTCAGACACCACTTACCTTTCGAAGATGTCTTCATTATGTAAAACACGCAAAACTTTGAAAAGCATCTTTGTGTATTACCCAAAGCAGCCAAGCCATTGAGTAGCCCTTCTACTTACCTCCCACTTGGTGTGGGAGCTGTCTCCCCTCTTGCCGGTGCGGAGGAGGTAGAGTCGGCCGGCGCCGTCGGAGAGAGCCGCCCAGGTGGCGGAGGTGAGGCTGAGCGACGCACAGAGGCGGTGCTCGCTCTGGCTAGAGTTGGCGGTTATACGGTAGAACTCTACTGGCTGCCCCAGGGCGGTGTCCTTTAATGCCATTAGATGGTGAAAGAGTGAACAATTTGTCAAACTCCAAGGTGACATCAGAAAACTGCTTGTTTTGCTGTCAGTCCCAAATCCATTCATTTATGACAAAAAAAGTGGTTGAAAGGTGACTCATTTTGTGATATAAATCATCTAGAAAATGGTTGAATAAATTCAAATAAGTGATCCGTCAGTTTTAACTGCCGATGCAACTGTGGAAATGCATTTTTTAGGCAGTCCAGTCATGACTCAAAGACAGAAACAGACACTTAATCAGAGAAAGCTTTGAACCATGAAGGAACAAGTTTACTTCTTTCACATTGAATGGAGCTCTTTAACTTCTGCATGGAAAGATTCTCCAATTAAAATCGGATAAAAGGAAACACAGCAAAAGGTGATTTCCATTCAAATTCTTCCGACTCAAAGGCCACACGATAATATTCTAAATGTTGGGAGCTGAATAACGAAAAAAAAAAACGTGTAACTCATCAAAGACAGACAAAACCCGCCCAAGCGACTTGGCCTAACATGTCCCACGGAGGCTCATTAGTCAGAGATACAGATGCCGCCGCGTGCGCATCAACGACTTAACTAACCGTTTCAAAATGACGGCAGGCCGTTGTTGCCATGGAGCGTGCACCGCATATTACATCGATACCTGATGCACCTTTGAGACCATTTTCAGCGTGGACCGCCTGCGTGCAGATGTGAGCGAGAAAAGGCTCATCAGGGACGGTAATTACCGTATGATGATTGTAATTACAATTTGAGCAACACATTTTCCAACAACAAAAAAAGGGCAATTTAGTGATGCCAGTGAAAGCCAGAAATACTGTCTCACATGATTATAGAGTGATGATCATCATCATTTAGACAGCCAATTACCTCTAATTATGGTCAATGATGTCTTGGACATAAAAGAAGTCCCTGGTGAAAAGGTCTCGGGGGCGATTTTGTTCATCGTCATAAGATCTTGGTGTTAGTTAACGGACCTCGATCAGTACTTCGAGCCATTAAGTAATCGGACATGGACTCATCCAGAACTTTAGCTTATTCACACAATGCTGCAAAATATGGATGTTACCGGTGCCACTCAAATTTCTAATTAAGCATATTTTTTTATTTAACTAGGAAAGTTCTATTGGGATTAAAAATCTATTTTTCAAGGAATTTATAACAAGCTTCAGTTGAAGGCTATTTTTGAACAACATTAAAAGCATTTTGCAACAGATCAATTGCCTGAGTTGACGCACAGCAACATATCACAGTGTCATCTGCATATAAGTGAAAGTTTGCGGCCAACACATTTTGGCCCAGATTATTCACATAAATGGTAAATAAAAGTGGAGCCAATACAGAGATTTGCGCCACACCCTTGCAGACAGTTGCAATATCAGATGATAGACCCTCATATCTGATGCACTGAGAACTATCCTCAAGTTAGCTTGTGAACCATAGAGAGTCAGCCCCTGTAGGTTTCCTATGATCTATGCTTTTTAGGCCTTTTTACAAGCTGTGCTCCTGAACAAGAGCACAGCTTGTAAAATTGGCAAGCGTGACTTTCTCCTGAGATTACGTCAGAAATGTAGTGTGCACTGATGCTGCTATTATGCAAGTGTTTGGTCACCACCTGCAGGTTTGTGAGGTGCATTAAAGTCCAGGAGGATTCAGAAGCCTACCAGTGTGACAGTGAGGCCGAGAACCCGTCCTTTGCAGTCCACAAACAAAACGCTGTCTTCGTACCACGGGTCCAGGTGGAGGTAGTTGTACATGCCAAAAGCACGCATGTGCTCCAGGGTGTAGTGAGTGTCCTTCAGCTTCACTTCCTCCACAGCTGCAGGAGATGAGGGGAAGCAGAAACTTAAGATAAGGCATTAAAATGAGATTTTTTTAAATAGTGTATGATGTGTATAATGAGATTTCTTAAACTCCTGTTACAAATTAAGGTGACACAGTGGACATCCATGTAAACATATTATTAATCTCACGCAAGGTTGCAGACTAATAGTTGAGTGACGCTGAGAGCGAAACGCGGCCGGCAGATACGGATTTAACGGCCTGCCATTCATATGATGGGAACATCTGAATCAATATTCAGAGATGCATGGCGACGCTAAAACAATAGAGGGACATGTGTATCGACCGCGCATGTTATATAACTTAAACAAATAAAACGAGAACCCATTTTCCAGTGAGGTCTTAATGAAATGAGTCGGAGGACGTACACACGCGTTGATCCCATTGATCACCGGTAGGTAGACTGCAGGTTTACAACTTCAGGGGGGTAGTCAGTCCGCTGGTGCTCTCTGTCCGCCGGTTTTCACCCCTTAATGTATCATCTGTTTTACAGATTATTGGCACTATTCACACCGTGCAGTGAGCCGTTGTAGACAAGGCAAGTCGTTCCTGCCAGATGTAATTAAAATAGTTGATGCATAGCCTCCTCATCTTGCCACCAGCTCCTTTTTTTAAATACCTTTCCTAACAGTATTTTCTTATCTTGTGCAGTTTGTAAGGCTGTTCAATGAACCTAAAAAGGGAATGTTTCACATTAAGGACAACATCAATTTCTCACTAACAAGCAAAGCTGTCAGTAGCTTCATACAGACAGAAGTTGTGTTAATATTATGCAAAGATTGTTGTCATTACAACGACGAACTGAATACAAATAACTATGTTAAGTTACTCCTCTTTTTCTTAGGGACCCACTAACCAGTGGCAAACCATATTTATTATCTCTGTCTCTTGGCAGGTGAGACCATAATTGTTCATTTCAATCTAAGTATGTTCTTGAATATGGCTTTTTTTTTGTGGCAAAAAACTGACTTTATTTTTAATTGCTGGCCCATACTTTAAAAAGGTTTATCAACTCTGTCCTAAATTTATAGCTAGACTGGGGACCTTTAGCCCCTGGGCTACAGCAAGAGTAAGTTAGCTTTCAAACTAATAAAACTACAACGTTTTCCATTATTACCAGCATGTTATCTTAAACAACTCGACCCGTTGCTCGTGGTTACAGGTGTGATTAATTAGCATTGCTAGGCTAGCACGCTTGCTAGCCTAGTTAGTTTCTCTCACCAGCATCCAGCTCAACGCCGTACGTTGGTATGGCGTCCAGAGATAACCTGTAACTTTCAAAGCCGGGGTCCAACAGCTCTCTGTTGACCTTCAGGGAATAATTCGACGTAGCCATGTCTTTTTAGATAGTGACAGACTTGACCATAAGTGGGAATCAAGAGGATGCTGTGGGAAGACACACGTTTCCGGTTTTCCACCCGGAGACCTTTCCACGGCGGACACGAGCTGCTCGTGCACTCAAGGTAGGTTAAGTCCCTGTATTTCCTCACAAAGCGTTTACAGAACATGTTTTAATATATTTAATCGTTCTAAAGAACACGTATGCGTGCGGGGGTAAATTAGAATGAACGAATGTTTTTCCTTTCTAAATTACGCTGGCAGTATTGAGTGACGCCAAAGCGGAACCATTACGCTTTTCGCGTTTTTAGACGGTTGGTTTGTGTGAAGGAACCGTGTGTTCCCCCAGCTGATCCATCTCGACAAAAAAAAGAAGGTAACATCTACCGCATAATTACAAAATGAAACACTTGTTTAAGTAGCTACATTCTCCTGAAATCGTTGAATCCAAACTTAAACTGCTGGTGTTTGTGTGCGATTTGAGGCAGATCATGAGCAAAGACTCCCAGATGAGGGCTGCAATAAACCAAAAGCTGATAGAAATGGGTGAACGGGAGCGGTGAGTCGAGCGTTACTCTCCAGTGATTCAACCATGGGGGTGAAATTGTTCTAGAGACGGTGCATTGAATGTAAACGTGTGGCCGCAGGTTGAAGGAGTTGCTCAGGGCGAAGCTGGTGGAGTGCGGGTGGAAGGATCAGCTCAAAGCACACTGCAAAGGTACGCCGTGCATCCATGCGCGTAACGGGGTGAACCTGCCACTACTGATCGATTATTTTGTGCAGATGTGATCAAAGAAAAGGGTCTGGAGCACGTCACAGTGGAGGACCTGGTCACAGAAGTCACACCGAAAGGCAGAGGTACGGATCTTTCAATTTAAACCCAACAGCAGGGGGTGGAAGAAGTACAGAGATAAAAATGAGAGGAGTCAACACCTGCAGCACAGCTGTGGGTTGAACTAAAAAAAATGTCTTAAATGCTTCTAACATCTAGAACAGATGTGATCAGTTTTATTCATTCCACACAGAGACATTAATTGGGATGTCATTTTAAATCAACATTACCAACGAGGACTTTAAAGTCAATGAAACAATTAAACGTACTTAATAGTCTCCATTACAAAAACACAAGATGTTTCCATATGGTGCAGCCATAAAGAACATGGTAACATTTTAAACTTTTGTATAAAATAAAAAACAACAATTATTTAGAAATAGCTGAGAAAAAATTATTTAACCAAAAAAAAGCTTTATTTCAAGACCAAAATCTTAACATTAAAGAAACTGAAAATAATTTAAATAACACGTCGCTTAAAGCTACCGTATGAGCATTGTGGCTAACTGGAGATTTAAAGAGGTTAAAGTACTGATGGTTCGACATAACTACGTTTTTTTTTTTAAAAATGAAACAAACAAAAATAAATAAATGTGTATTGTCTGTTGTTATCTGTAAACTGCAATTTGCTTCACATCTTGCTTGTTTGCATCTCGCACGTCCCTGAACAGATTATTTGTTGTTTATTTTATCAATCTTTTTTACAATTGAACAAAAGATGCTTTTTTTTTTTTTAATCCCCAACGTCTCAATGAGTGTCCACAACTACTGGAGCGTGTTAAAGTGCAGTGATCATTGCGCGTGTTCGGGCCCCCTGACCGTACCAATGCTTCTTCTCCCTCTGATGCAGCACTCGTGCCGGACAGCGTGAAGAAGGAACTCCTGCAGAGAATCAGAGCTTTTCTAGCGCAACACGCAACCTTGTGAATGGATCACTGTCTAGACACTTTTTGTTTTTTACTCACAATTCAAATCGAAAACTCGTTTGTTTCCATTGTGAGCAACGCTCAAGTGTTATTATTTTTTTTATCTTTATCTATCATGTGTTTTCATATTGATTTCAGTTTTTCATGCAGAAGGGGGGGAAAAAATAAAGTCATGCCTATTTTTGGTCATTGGGAGTTTAGACTTTTTCTTTGATGCAGCTGAAGACCTGTTATTTAACTTGATGTCTTTGTTCACACCCAAAATATTTGCTGTCTTTTTTTTCCCCATTTTAATTTGTTTCTCAACCGACCAAGTGTTAAGTAACGCGTTGATGAATAGACGATAGCTGGTATGACAGAAATGTCTTTGTCTGCCTCTCACGCTTAGTTATGGCGCTCTTTATTTTTAGCACATTATGGTAGGTGCCAGAATAACTCATTATTATTATTATTATTATTATTGCAGTGAGCGTAATGCTTGCTTTATATACAAAAACATTGCTTCCTGAACAAAAAAAACTCTTTCTGTGGTCAAACACCTCATGGACTGAGCTCACTGTGCTTTTGACATGTGACATTTCAGTTCTGGTCAGTTATGGTTCTTTAGTGTTACTCAGAGGAAGTTGATGATAACATGTCTTACGTCACTTTCTGAACATGTAGGGAACTAATTTTTTTCTACTGTCATGACTTCATGGAAAGAATGTGACACTTGGCATCAGGGATTACTCACAGTGACAAGGAGAGGTGATTACTATCTCAGACTATTTTTGAGTTTGTTGTGTGCACTGTGAGAGCTGGACTTCCGGTCTGCATACATGAGGCAGGGATCAACCTTCATGTTTGCTTTCACTCGCCCAGTTGGACATGTGGCTCTGACTTCTACTCGAGCAGAGTCACTTTTTTCTTTCCCTCTATGCAAACCGTTGAATTCATAAGCGGGTATCAGAAGAGAACAAGTTAGCTGTCATGTTTAATCATTTATATAAGACGTTTTGCACACGTCCTCCAACCCCAATCAGTTTACAGGATAATCAAAATTAATTCCAAGTTATCTTTTTAATTTCAGCGCCCTATGAAGTACTCATTCAATTGGAACACACTACCTCATGACATGTCATCCTGAACTTTGATGGTACTGCTTATAAATCCTCCGTGCACAGGATTGTTGGTCAACACGGCCAGAAAAGCAAGCTGTCAGGCGTTTTGCCAAAATGTAATAAGAACCATTTATTGCCAAGTAAGTCGTAGGACACCATTTAGGAAGAAAGAAATGGTGCCAAAAGGACACAATTTAGGAAGAAATTATGGAAAAATGATGCTATGGAATCCAGATGCTGGTGAATGAAGTGGAGGGCCACGTTGACTGCGTCGTCCAAACGGACATGTTGCCGTGGCAAACTGCAGGGGGTGCAGGCGTGGGTCGGTCACGGTTTCAGGTGAGACTGGACACGGTGTTGAAAGGACTTCTTGACCACAGCACCGGTCAGGAAGATGTCTGTTGAAGATGCCTGTATAGACCTTTTGATTTGAGCAATCGGATGCATGACCTGGCCAGAATGTACCCGTGAGGCGCGTGTGATAACCATGGTCCACAATGTTCTCCTCTCAGATAAAGAGAGATAAACAGATAAACGTCAGGCATATTCCACACACAGAAATAAAATGTATGAAAAGAACACATTGATCTTACATCCTTCACTCGTCACAGACCTGAAGACACAGGAAGAGTTTTTATAGATAGCAGGCCGTAAGGTGAAACACTCCATAAGTCACAACTAAGAGCAACGATGAAGGCCTCCCCCAACATCTCTAATGCACTGAACAATACAGCAAAGCTCCAGGCACCTGCGTGTGAAAACGCTGTGAGAGGAGCGATGGATGACTGACGTTACAATACAGCTTTCATAACAAGTATTTCATTCTCCAAGTGTTCAATAACCAGAAGAGTCCTTTCACCACGAGGCTGATAAAGTGCGTTTCAGCTAATCAGGATCTGTTTGTTTGTTTCAAAGAGTAATTCTGTCCAACACAAGAAGTGTTTTTTAAATGGTTCTCAAGCCTTTCAGAACTCTCCACTCTGTTGTAATAAAATGACCCTTTAATCCACATTAGCATCTCTGAGAACCTGCGTTGCTCATTAAAACAATGTCTCTTAAGAATAATTAAGAGACATTGTTTCCCCAATTGCTTTAGGAGGGATTAAGGTCTCTTCAGACAGGAAGTGATGAAACTGTTAGAGTTGAAGGAAATAAAGATTCAAGTGGAAAACGCAGACAAGATAAAAATAGAAGCTGGTGATGATTCAGTCATGATGCCTCGAGGCCTTGTGGTGCTGCTGCACTTCACGGTTGATGTTTTAAAAATAAATAAAAGTAAAGTAATAAAAAAAGTTTGCCTTCCACATAAATCTTAACTTCCAATGAATCGTTTCCTTAACAACAGAATATTGGCACACCACTATTATTACATTTTTGCCATCAGTGTGTTTTTTTTTACAAAGCACTATGGGACTGCGCTCCTATACAAATATGTTTGAATGGAATCGTTTCCCATCACTAGGACTCGAATCACTGTGTGTGTTTCCTGAGTTTCACTTCTTCCCCGCCAGACAGCAAGTGAACAAATGTGTCGTGACTGGCTTCGGCAACGTGTTTAGACCATGCTGGTTGTTTGCAAGAGGATGAGCTGATCTGTTCAGTCTCCTCCTCCCGGTTCCAGGTGAGGGGAGGGACCCCGGAGCAGCGGAATAAAGAGCCCGGCCTCTTTGCGGTGTCTCTCGTTCCATCCGTCTACCTGAGCAGCGCACTCAACAGGTAACGACAGGTGCGCTCCGCTCGCTCTCACGTCGCTGACTCTGCAGAGATCAAGCTCGTCAACAACACTGTGCACAGTTGGGAGTTTTTGCTCAAATGCTTGTTTGATCACTGTGTCGATAGATTCCAGTCCTGCACAGCGGACCGCAGCTGAAGCAGCAGCTCGGCTCTCTGGGAAATCTCCGCCATGGAGTCCCCGATGAAGGCGGCTGCTCTCATCCTCGCCCTTTGGCACTGCTGCAGTAAGTAACGGGCACAGCCACTCGTATCGCGCTGTTAATACGTGCAATGACGTTATTGGACGTGCGCCGCAGGTGCTCAACGCGTTGACCAACTCACTCCGAATCGAGGCAGCTCGAATGGAGCAACGCGAATCATGATTGACGGAATCGGTAAGATCCTGAGCCAGTTGCTTTTCTTTGTTTATTAGAACCTTTAAATACAAAGTGTTTATGTATTGTTAAAAAATGCTGAAAATTAGTTTTTAGGTGTAGATTATTATAATATATTTTTTTTAGATCGTTTTAGAGGAAAATGTCTCTTGTGGTTATTATTATTATATATCACCTATATTATTACATATGCAGTGATGTAAAACATATATGGTTTCCCTCTGAAAATGTAGTGGAGTAAAAGTACAAAGTAATATGAAAAAACCCTCAAGTACTTTGTACTTTCATGCAGTATTGAGTAAATGTACTTAGCTACATTCCAACACAGGAAAAAAGCACAATTATCAAAAACTTACTTTTTCTAAATTAATCCAACTCAAGCAGACTGAGCTGGTGAGATTTTCCAACCATAAATTACAAGTAACTTACTAAAAGTGAGTGTTAATAGCAATTTCATAAAACTAATTTAAGTCAATTTACTATTTTTAATTAAATAGGATGTTTGGATTTACAGACTGTTATATGTTTCCATTAGTGAGAGAGTCGGATAAAGGTCCCTTTTCCTTGTTGGTGCCTTCGCCTAAATGAAATATATCTTTTTACACAAACCTGTATTCAGGCTTCGCCCAGGAGAGACAGTTCCAGCTCAATCCAAAAGACGACAATTTTGGCAACCGCGTGTTCCTGGTGTCGGACAGCCTGTCGGTCCCCTGCGACGTGGAGAGGGACTCGACGCACGGCAACCGGATCACGTGTGTCACCAGGTAGCTGCAGGGTCAAGGCCTGTTCCTAAGTGAATATACCAAACGCACGTGTATCTGAAACGACCCATGCGTCTATCACAGAGCCATGCCCGTAGATCAGTACGTGGTCCGTGTCAGCGTGGACGGTGTCCCCATTCCCGATGCCGGTGTGTGCAGAGGGGCCTACAAGCCGTACCGGTGCAGCTTCTTCGTAAGTCTGCAGCTGACGAATGGAGACCCCTTTAAAGGTCAAGTTGGTCCACCTCGCAGCCGTGTTTCTAATGTGAACTTCTCCCCCCCCCTCCTTCCGTTCTGACTTTTCTCAGTCTGTTCGGCACCGCACGCCTACTATCAGTACTCTGAGCCCGGCCAGCGGGCCCCCAGGTACGCGGCCCTTTAGTTCTGCAGGTCTCAGGCCCAGTTCACCCGCTCATCGTTGTATTGAAACCTTCTCCCGGACCTCTTGCAGGCAGCTTGGTGACAGTGCGAGGAATTATCTTCACCGACGTGTACGGGAGCAACACCGACCGGAGCTCCAACGGGCTCGACGTCAGGTTTCTGAGGTATTCAAATATAAGGATACACATTTTTAAAGAAGTTCACATTAAAAGAAGGTAGATTGATCATGAAAACAGTTGAAATGATCCCAACCAAAACTAATTTGTTTTAGGAGAGATACAAACACCACACCAGTCTTGTGAACATCAAATCAGTGAATGTGACCTTTTTTGGTTGCAGAGCCTACATGGGAGGGATGCCATGTGAGCTGCTTAAACCAAACTCTGATGAACTGTAAGTAGTTAGTCCGCAGCAGATGTAGAAAACACTCTGGACAACAAACACGTATAGATTGAAGTTAAAATGTGTCACAGCGGAGAAGTCTTCTGTTTGATGAAGCTGTGTTGAATAAAGGTGAAGGAGGAAAAGGTGTGAACACTGTATTATAAGTTTGTCAAATATTTTCTGAAGATATAACCTACAACTGGACTCCGAGTCTTCCAACTGGGGATACATGAGCTGCAAGATGACGGGCAGCTACGTTGGTGAGCAGGTTTTCTTAATTGCAGACGCTCTGAATGCAACTTTTAAGGAGACGTACCACTTGTGAATAGGGTGTAAAAGGGTAAAAAATAATCTTGCAGATTTTAGCTATGAAACTTCCCCTGTTGGTTATTTACATGAAGACATTTCTTTTTCGTATGACATGTTTTCTCATATGTTATGTTGAAACATGCAAACACACGAACAATGAACACATTTGCATAGATTTCAGAACAGATATGGATCAAGACAGGTTCTTGTTTCAAAGTGTTTGGTTGACACGTTAGAGTCAATGAGGGAATTTTGGATATCTCATTTGTATCACTCCATGAATTAGAAAATAAAAAGATGAAGCCATAAAAAAAAAAAAATCAATTTTCAATGTGTGTGTATGAATAGAACAATGTATGAATCAAGCTCAGAATGATGTATGTCTGTAAGAACATTTGGAATATAGAAAAGAGGCAGTAAAACATAATATAGAGACATTACTTTTGAAGATATGATTTGTAAATTTATGTGACAAATTGAAGACAACAAGTGTAGAAGCTAGAAATATGAACTGATGGACTTCCATGAATCCAGGAAACTTCCTCAGATGATCACTGACATAAAGACAAATCTTCTGAGATACTATGTTTGAACATGTAGACGAGGCTTAATTCATAGGAGCAATCTATGGACCCAAATAGAAAAATAAACACATGAATGTTAGACTGAACGACAATAACCTCAGAACATTAGAATTGACGGATACACCAATAGTGATGTATTTTCGAAAAGTATCCCTAAAAAAAGCCTTAAAAAAACGTCTTGATAATCATGTTTTGTTTACGACAGGGCATCACAACTTGACTTACATTCTGGACAGCGAATTTGGAAGGTAATGCACAGTTACAGAATCCGTCTGCGTTTTCAGACCTTTAGGTTTTATTCAACCTTAGAAGGAAAAAATGAATAGACATAGTGCTAGAAAGGCGGATTGATTTATCTCTTTGAAATCCTCAGGAGTTTACCGGACAAGAAGCTGTTGAGGGTTTCAGCTTTGGGAAAGCTCTCCATGTTTCAGACCTTTGCAGGTAAGACACGCAGTAAGACTTTCACCACAAAGTACCCCCTGCGTTGCGTTTGTTCTCACTCCAGTGAAATGCGCGTCGTGTCTCCTGTTCAGAGGTGACTGGAGTCTCGCCCTCGACGGGCAGCGTCATGGGCGGAACCCTGTTGACCATCTACGGCCGCTTCTTTGACCAGACTGACCAGCCTGCGCGCGTTCTCGTTGGAGGTAATCAGCTGCCACCCAGTTGCCGCGTTGTGCGTTTTCTGTTGTCACGCGGTGCAAAGTGTTGCATGGATGCGTCTCAGCCAAAACAAAACCCGACCCGTTGTGCAACGGGGATGATCCTTTTCAGCACCAACACAAACTGTGCATACTTTAAGACGCAGCAAACAAAAGGAAACAACAGGGTTGTCGTGCGGCTGAGAGAAGCACAACAGACCGTGACAAACAAGTCTTTTACAAGTGATGTGTCAACAAACTATTTTGTTACAGTACGTGTTGGAAAGGGGAGGACGTCCCCCCTTTTTTTCTTTTCTTTCAGCTCAATCATTATCAAATAAAATCTTTTTCCCACGATGAGGAAGATGGGTATAAAACAGATGTAGAATGCAGGTGGTACATTGTCCACAGTACACAGCGTCTGTCTTACATAATATTCATCATCAGGTTTGTAAGACTACAATAAGAATCGAATATTACTGATAAAGCATGTGTAACTGTAACCAGCCAGAGTAATCAAAGTTTAACTCTTGACACAAAAAATGGAACTATGCACCCTGAAAAAGTATCTACAAAACATCAAAAGCTGAATGAATATGTAGTAATGCAGAAAAAAAAAAAGATTATTTCATTTGCAAAAAAAAGAAAAGATGGAGGAGATGCTGGTTTCTTGTCAATCGTCCTGCAGGCCCCAGTTTAGAAACCACCATCTGCTAAATTTAATTTGCTTTTTCTTCAGGCCTGCCCTGTGAAATCCAGACGGTGGCCGACGACAGAATCACGTGCAGAACCGCCAAGCACGAGATGAACGGCAACGTGACAGTCTACCCAGGTTAGGACCCGCCTCCTCTTCCTCCCTTTGTCTTTTGGCGTGACGCTAACCCGCATTTGTCCCCGCCGATGTTCCGTGTCGGTGCCCGAACAAAGCATTAACACAAGGGGAAACATCTCCATCGCTGGGTGCATCTAAAGCGTGCTTGACAACAGAAGATAACATTGTCGGTCAAGATGATCAATGATTGATAATTGAGGACTTTGATGTGCAGAGTACGGTGAACTGATAACATCTTATCTGACTGTGACTTGAGCGCATATTTTCGGAAATCAGAAATCATACGTAAGAACTTATGCAGAGCAGATGTGAACAGCTGATACAGATGTCGGCTCTAGATTTCTATATAGATCAGTCAACGTAGCTGCTTGATGTCCTCCTGATTATTTCTTAGATTCGAGGATCTATTTCTTTGGCAATACAATTTCAGAAATTATGTAATATAATTTCAGAGAACCCAAGGTGGTGTTTCCAGATGTTTAATTAATGATTAATCTGCCGAACCCCGATTTTGGTGCACCACCATTTTGTCACTGGCACTTCCTCTGAATCCAGGTGGAAGAGGCTTAAAGCTGGAGGTGTGGAACAGGACAAGACCCAGATACCTGACTGACATCTGGGGCTACAATGAGAACACGGCTGGATACTGGGCAGACTGGGTCGACTCCATGCCCAGCGTTTTTCAGAATGAACTCGATTATTTCAGCTCACGATCCAGAGGCTTCTTTGTGCCACCGGCCACCGCCAACTACACCATATACCTGCACTGCGATGACCGATGCGAGCTCTATCTCAGCAACTCCAGCCGCCCCGAAGACAAGGTGGAGCACACCTGCCGTCACCATCAAACAACGCCAGGATGCCATCAAAGATCATATTGTGATAAAATATTCCTCCCCCTCCTTTGACTTTAGGTTAAAGTCGCGTTCCAGACAAGTTACGTCTCAGATTTCACGAAAATGCAATCGCAAAAGTCTGAAGTACTGGCTCTAAAGGAAGGACAACAGTACGTTAATTATTCTAATGACCTCTTTAGAAAATGAAGAGTCTTTAATTCACAGCACACAATGTTCCATCGCTTAAAAGGCTTTTCTTTCTCTTATAGCTACTACATGGAAATCCTGCATCAAGAATATGCTGGTGTCGCGAGTGTCAACGTTGCCTTGTTCCAAGAGCAGAGTACCTTTACAGGGAGCCAGACGGACGACGCCGTCAACGAGGTTCAGAATATCGTGGCTGAATATGACGTGTACGATGAGGAACAGGTGTGTAGCTTCCGGTAAACACGGCACATTCCAGGTTATCTTCTCAGCTCTCCATTAAAGTCAGATGGCAAGATACCCACTCGCTACCACTCTCTCACCTATTCAGTCAGTATGTTAGTTTAGCTTAGCATAAACTCTGGAAAGCAGAGGGAAACGCTGGCTCGCTCTATCCAAGAAAACAAATAATGCATTTCTGTTCTGTACATAATGTGTTAGTTATTCATCCTAGTAGTGGTACACTTCTGTAGGTGGACCTTTTGCCTTTGAACAGAGCTAATTTACAGTCTTTAAGCTAAGCCAGCACAGTATTGATCTGTTATCAAGCATAATTCACCAAATGTAGACATATTCAATTAAACAATAATTTTATATCACTTCAATTTGTCATTGCTGAGTAATCAACTGAAATTCAAATGTATGTTTTTTTTAAATATTGCTTCTAGTCTTCCATTTTTTTGTGAGCCAGAGGCATGTTTGTAATGTAATGTTTGAGGACACAGCAATGCACCCAGCTAGCGTCACTGCTAGCGTCACTGGTAGCTCCATTGCTCTCTGTGGGGTTTGTTAAAGGTTGTTTTAGAGAATGCATGAAAGGAGGTAGAAGTGTTGAACCTGCATCGCTCTTTATACCTCACATTCGCTCCCTCTTACTATGCCCCAGGTGGTGACCTTTGACTCCTGGCCCGGCGACGTGGCTGCAGTCAAAGAGGTCCAGAAAGTTACCGTTAGCAGCGGCTGCGCCAGCCATCTTTGTGGCAGCACTTTCTTCAGCCTGGGCTACGGAGACGCAAAGACGGGTAAATAAGTGTTGAGTTGCTGCATTTGTTTTCTTCCCAGCCATTATGTTTGTTCACAAGCCTCGTCTTCCTTTTTTTTTTAGGACCAATTCCAGTCACCGCCTCAGCTAATGTGGTCGAGGCTTCCTTGAACACCCTTTGGACCATCAAACCCGACACTGTCCATGTCACCAAAGAGGACGATAGCCAAGGATCGAACTTCCTGGTCACTTTCAATTCTGACAGAGGTATGAAAGGACACAAAAGTATTGTGGTTGTCACATGCATTCATTCAGCTGACCCTATTAGTGTAAACTACTTTTTTTTTTTTGACCGCAGGAGATTTTGAACCTCTACACTGGGAAGTTTTCGGCTCTGACACCTACGTCACCGTCGCCGAGGTTACAAAGGGGATCAGCAACATGCAGACCTTCACTCTGCTCTGGGGGGGAATTCCCTCTAAACCCATTGGCTTCAATGCAACTGAGTCTGAGGTCTGAGACCGACAACCCAGTCACGCCTGACATAATGACTAACGAAGATTTCATTCATGAAACAAGTGGTCAAAATAGGTTCTGGCTGTTGCCTGTGCTGCGTAGCAAAAAATGTTGATTCCGGCTTGTGCTATTGTCAACAGGTGCAGTCGGCTCTGGAGGACATGATGAAGGCCGAGTGTCCCGTTGAGGTCCTGGCGCCCGAAGGGACCGACGTAAAGTACTTCAAAGACTTTGAAAAGGACAACTCCCAGGTCAGTGGGGACAAATTAATTGTTGAGCACCTATTCTTCGCGCTCCTTTTACATCTTGGAATCATCAAAAATGTTTTCTCGCGCTCACCAGTTCAACAGTGCTGAGGAAGGTGCTCCGGTGAAAAACACGGCTTTCTGCGGCCTGTGGTCGCTGAAGAACGCCGAGGTCCTCTTCAAGGACACCTACACTGAAGACTCTGGTTACAGCTACGGACCGGTCTCATTGGACAAGTATCCCACGGTAAAACACACGGTTGCTTCACTAATTGTACATACGGTTTGAATTAGCACTGTAAATGAAAACAAATGGATGCATTAAGAACGTGGTTGGTAAATGATCTGAAGGTTATTGATGGATAGATTATTTTCCCCATTCTCCCCTTGCAGCTTTGCTTTGCATACACGGGCATGTTGAAGGATGAAGTTGGAATGAAGTTCACTTACAAAAACAGCCAAGGCCAAAACAAGGCAGAGACCGCAAAGATAAGCACTGTCTTCAATAAGGAGAACAAGTTAGTAAACTCTGCTTCCGATCACTCAGCTATGTGCAAACTTCTCAAGCAAGTCCTGGTTTCTAGAGTTGGGTATGTCTTGACAGATGGAGTTACAAATGCATGGACCTGCAACGCTCCCTGCAGACGGAGTACATCGGAAGAAATTACAATCTGCTGGAGTTTTACCTCTACAAAGACGGGGGAGATTTCTACGTGGACACCGTTCACATTGGGAAGAATCCCACCTCAAATGATGAAAACGGTACGCAGCTTGATGGTAGTTTTTAGATTTGGGGTTGAATATCAAAGTTCAGAAGCGCACACTATTTTCTGTTCCATCTTTCCTTTACGTCTTTTCGTAACAAGGTGAATCCGTTGCTTTGCATTCACCTTATTCCTGTGTGTTGTTTTTTCCAGCCGTCCCCCACGAGAGGAGGCCTCCGCCCTTTGAGACCTCCGGCCGATCCTTTGAGGCGATCTCTGTCGCCAAAGACGCGCTGAACGCTTCACGGATCAGCTACCAGATCAAAGCCACACCGGTCGATTGTGCCTTCGGTTTCCCGCTGCTCGGAGTTGGCTTCCTGCCGGTAACGGAATTTGAATTTATGCAATGTCGATGTACGTGTCATATTACAGACTCATTCTTCACCTGTGTGTTTATTCTGCAGCGTAGTCTGCAGGAAAACACATATCTGCTGTTCGTTTTACACTTGGGAAACGTTGTGGAGCTTTGGAGTGAAGCTGAAGTGAAATAACAAAGGAGCAGCCACCTGACAGTTAATCAGAGACTGTTTGACTCTCAGACGAACATGCAACCTTCTTCACTGAGCCTCATGATTTGTGTAAAAAAAAAAAGAGTGTTTTACTGCTGTTGAGATTCCAATCTCCTGACGTTATGTGTTGAGTTATGAGTGACGATGTGGGCTTCCCCTCCTCTCCGATGCACTCAGCGCTTCACAAATTAAAGCCTGGGTTCTAGAAATCCAACCTCTCTGCTGCGATGCTCTGATCCGATGTGCCGTTAGAAAAGAAGAAAAGGCGAGATACAAGCGTGAGCTAAATAGTGGGATTTATCCAGATTGTGTTTCTCCGAGACAGCAAACATAAGGAAAGCCAGGTGTCATCTTCAGCAGTGTGACTCATGAATACAGCCCGCGGGATAAAGCTTAGTGCGCAGCGGGATCCAGTAAGTGTCTCATGCCTCGGCATGCTGTGCATTCAAGATGGACGGATTGTAGACTGCGCACAGGGGCTGGTCGGGAAAAGTGTGACCTTAAAAGTGTTAAGACGTCATTTGTGTAATGATTTCCCAAAAGCTGAAGTGTGATTAAGTAATACATCAAAAACAGGGATTATCTTTACTAAGCTAATATGTCATCTTGATGATATCATAATTCTAAGAACATACCGGGTAGCAGTGCTGCTTAAAGCTGACCTAGTTTTCCATGGCTTGCCTTAGATATACTGTATGAAACTCAACAAGAAAAAAACAGATAAAAAGATATAAACACAAACATTTACACTATAAAAATGATTTTCACAAAGGGACAATTTTGGACAAAAAAAGTTTCCATCCAGACATCCAGCACGCCTGCATTGGATTGTGTCTTTTTAATCTATTTCCCTTCTCCACCTGCATAGATGTCCAACAGCAGGGAGGACGCGGCGGAGTTCGGGGACGGAGCAGCCGCGGTCAGCATCACCCGCCTCCACAGAGCCACGCCTCCTCTGAACGGCACCTTCGACGTGGAGATCTACGGAGGCCGAGCCGAAGGTAAGAGCGCGAAAGTAAAGTAATATTCTTTATTACTTTACGGTTCTTTAGTAAATTTACTTAGTTAAATCCGGCCACTGGCGGCTTCTACAACACGGGCAATAGTTGCTTTAACAGGGAGGTGTGTTGTCAGGTCTGTCAGTGGACATCAGCCAGGAGGACCTGAAGTTCGCTCTACAGGGAATCGCAGGGATGGGTGAGGTCAGCGTGCAGAGGCAGGGAAGCTGCAGAGACCCCAAGTGGAGGATCGAGTGGCTGAACAAAGCCGGAGACCAGCCTCTGATCCAGGTCACACTCTTCTTTGCTCTTTAGATTGGTGGATCCCCGGGGTGTTAAGCGGTCATGGCGGGTGTGTTGTTTGGATCCCTAAGGGGAAATTGTTCATATTGGTGCATTGCCCGAAAAGCAATTTGTTTTGTAACATTTAACAATTAAATAGTAATTGTATCCATAGAAGTTGTAGTAGTAATAGCACACAAATATTCATCAGAAATGTGTCAAACTGCCAAACTTATTGCGTAGCTCTGTTTATTTGTTGTCCCTCTAAATCCAATTATTGCTACTCATATAAGTTTCATATGAAAATAAAGGCCGACAGCTTCTTGATCTGTTTTCTCACCTGTTTGAATATAACGCATCAGAACAGGTACTGTAGCCACAGCAGTAATAGTACTAGTAGTAATACATTAAGTATGCTGTCGGTAGAAGCTGTGTTAGTAGCATTTACATCTTTTGACTTGCATAAAAAAAACCATCCACTTGGTCCTGAACGGCCATTTATTCTCATTTCAGGTGACCGGCGCGTCAGTCGGCCAAAACGCTGATGTTTTTGCGCATGAGGATGAAAAAGGAGGACTATTGACACGAAGCCTGACAGGAGATTACTTCCGTGTCTGGGAATCCAAACCACAGGTACAACCGGGATTCAAGAATCCTCGGCCACATCAGTTTCAGTATCATCTGTCTGTCAAATGTGTGTTTTCTCTGGAGCGAGGCCTGATCGGTGGGCTGTTCTACATTGTCTCTTGGCGCCTGAAGTTGGTGTTTTCCGCAGGACATGTAAAGACACGGTGCTTAAACATTCAGCAGAATGCAGGAAATCAAAGGGTTTGAGGGGAAATACAACCACACACCCTCTAGTGGGGGGTAGTCTCAGCTCGGAGTGTCTTTTTTTATGTCATAGAACTTGGCAAACTCAACTCAACATTTTGTGCTTTGCAGGTGGAGGTTTACATCAACGGCATCCCCTCAAAGTGCTCTGGTGACTGTGGGTACGAATGGTCTGAGGACAAGACTCCAGTTGTGACAGGAATCAGCCCATCTCAAGGTCTCATGGTTGCTTATTGATTTGTCGGACTGTCTTTCTATATCTTATTGGCGTGTCTAGTGTTTAAAACAGAATAAGATTAAAAACATGGCAATGAGGATTGAGTTTTCGTCGACTTTTTCAGGATCTATTGGCCAGGGGACTTTTTTGACTGTCACTGGGACTGGCTTCAGCAGCGAAAACGCCTCCATCCTTGTGGGAAAAACCCAGTGCCACGTTGAACAGATCACCGGTAAATGAGACTTTAGGAGTGAATCCTGTCGTTCATCATCTAACGGAAGTAGTGAAGCCACATCTTGACTGCGGTTATTTCAGCTACCGCTCAGGTGTGCAGACTCGGCAGTGGCAGCGCGGGAACGTTCCCCGTGCTGGTCAGCTTCCCCTCTCTGGGTGATTCCCGCCCCTCCGGAGACGACGCCTTCCGCTTCACCTACCAGCTCATCCTTTCCTCCTTCGCCCCGCTCTCCGGAAGCGTGGCAGGTACGACTTTACCGAAAACCTGTCTGTACAGGCGACACTCTAAAGGAGGATCACTTTTTCTACGATACAGAAGCCTTTATGCTCCTGCGTTTTCTCCTCAGGAGGCACTCTGCTGACGGTGAAAGGTTTCGGCTTCAGCCAGAGCACCGGGGTTGCTGTCGGCAGCGACCGGTGCGCCGTGGTTTATGCCAGTGACACTGAGCTGCGATGCAGAACGCCAGCAGTGAGTGACCACGCTGCAAAGCGCCGTTTGTTAGGGAGAAATGTTTCCCTGCAGCAACCGGCTCTACGCTCTTATACGTCGGCACTCATGAGCACCGTCTGCCATGTTGAGAGGCGTGTGGATTCAATCCCAGAATCATACATGCGCTCTGAAAATTTGTCTTTTGCCATCAAGTTATAAAGCGGACTTAGTGATTAACAAAAACTCTTTTTATAACAATAATACATTTTTCATTTGAAAGTGATTTTTTTGTTTTTCAAACAAATTATGTAAACAAGACAGGTTAATAGTTAGCCTTCATTTTCTTGCCTTGTAAAGAGCCGCAGCTCTGAATAAGGCCCTTATTTGACTTATTAGTTAATAAATGAACGCTTGCATTGCTTACTTCAGGGGACTGCAGGATCACAATCCGTCACAGTGATGGAGGGAAACATGAGTCAGACAGCCGGCAGCTCCTTCACTTATGATGCCAACCTCACCGCGCAGATCTCAGGCCTGAGTCCCACAACAACCACCGTGATCGGTGAGTTCGAGAGGCAATCATGAACTGTGTATGTGCATTTGATGACCAGTGAGGTACGATTAGCGCCGCTGAGATGAAACCCACACGAGAGGTTTATCAGGGGGGAATAGTTTTTTCCTGGAAGGGTAATAGTAACACTGTGGAGCTAGTGAATGAAACAGACACATGGTCTGCTGTTATATGTCTGTGACGATTCAATGTGTTATTCATCGTGTTTCAATATCACTCCCCAGATCTGGTTTTGCTCTCGCTGTGCATCTGTCGCCAGTGACGTACTTCCGTAAAGACAATATGTTTTGTATGAATTTCAGTCCAATTATATCTGTGTCTGAAGAGAATATAGACGGCAAGATGTTTGTGCCTCACTGTTTGGAGTTGGCATGAGACTCCACATCACCGTCGACTCATTGGTTGGGTTTTCGTGCCTCCTGTAATGTTGATTTGCTGGTTTTATCTGTTTTCGCCCTTTGTGCTCCTCGAGAATGTGAGCATGAGAGGTCGCCACGTCTTCGCATACATTTATAGTTAACCACACGCATCCACCCGACGGGCAGCGGAGAATCGGCGGTGACAAGCGCTAATTATGTCGGCACTCGGGTGACAGGAGCAGAAAAGATCTGTTGACGTTTCTCTTTTCTTATCTGCCTTTTGTGTAGGACACGAGGTTCTCACCATCCAGGGCTCGAACCTGGGAGGCCGAGACAATGACAGCGTTGTGTTTGTGGGCGGGAGGGAGTGTGCGGCGGTGCAGTGGACGGAGACGAGGATCACCTGTCGTCTCCCCGCGCTGCCGCCGGGCACGCACAAGGTGGAAGTGCAGCTTGGAAACAATGGCCACCCCCGGACGAGGTATAGATGCCATGGAAGGTGTTTTCACACAGGCAATAGTTTGTCTGTTACCTACAGACAGGAAGGGAATTTCCTGTCTGTCTTTCTTTAACACCACAAAGCGTCAAGAGAGCTTTTGTTACAGATCACTTAAGGCCACATAGTAGATCAGAAGATAAGGATATAACATTTAAAAAATGTACTCGCAATATTGTGCAGTGTTGCTTTTCACCTGATGTTTTTAGATTTGCAAAACATACCTAAAAAATGTCTTACTAATTAGTTACTAAACCCATTTTAAAAATAAACAACTCGTTCCAAACAAAGGTTATGTGGTCGAGTATAAGTGTGGAGGTGCGCCGTAGATGATGAATACATGTTCTGACGTGTTATGACTATGAGACGCGTGCATGCTTCGCGGCAGATTAGAGATCGTCTGTTATGTGGTGATGTTTCAAAATGTGACATTAGGAATGTGATGTGTCACACCGTCCAACTAGCGTGAGAGACAAACAAACTTATGTTCAAGAATGCTTTATGGTTTAAAGTCAGTACAGTATTTATGGACTCTGTACCGCAGTGCATTGTGGGAAATAATGCAGATGTTATTTCCACTGAAACAGTGTGCAATTTATCTACTAGAAGTGTTGTGATCAAATTTCTATCACAACAATAAAAGAAAACACAATTTAAAGAACTAACACAGATTGATTTGCATAGTTTTGAGATTATTGTCAATCAATAGTAGGAGAAGGATCACCTTAACACTTTCATACTGAGGTTAGGTTTTTTCTTATTTTTCCATGGTTTGAGACTTTCTGATTCCTGGCTTTGATTTGTCGACTGCCATGATGACTTTAGCCAGTCTTGGTTATAAAGACCCAGAAGTGACACAACAGGTGTCAACGTGCCGTCTAGATTCAATCCTTCGTTCAACTCCTTTGTGCTTCTTGTTTCTTTTTTCATTTCATAGCGACGGTGTGAACGCCACCATTGAATACATCCTGGAAATCTACAGCATCTCCCCACAGCTCGGCTCGTTGATGGGAGGAACCGCGCTGACTGTGTCTGGATCCGGTTTCAGCAACAACACCGTGGACAATAAAGTCTCCGTCGGTAAGCAAAATGAGAGCCAGCTACTTCAAACAGATTCATTACCACGGCAGCGGTCTCCGCAAACAGGGAGTTAACTTTGTCAGTACCGGTATTTAAAGATAACAGTGGGAATGAAATGAATGGTTGTGGGGGAACCAGCTGACTGTAATCGGCAGTGATGCAACCACGTGAGGGAAAACCGGCGGTTTTGGTTTGGTTTGACCGCTTCAGGTATCGGCTCTCACGCTCATGTTCTGTGTTGGTTTGTGATGTGACAGGAGGACTCGAGTGTGAAGTGACGTCAGCCTCAGAGAACGAACTGCAGTGTGTGTTGCAGTCGGAGGGGAAGACCCACATTGTTACCAACCAGGGATCCCACAGTAGTAGGTTTACCCTTTTTCATCCTTTCTGCAGGTGTCTTACACAAACACAATACAGCAGAAAGAGGGTCACGTTTCCGAAAGCCGATTCAAACGACAGAGCTGTCGCCTGCGGACGAAGTGTGACTGCGTCCCGACTAGTTTCAGAAACAGTTACACTCTTTTTCTGTAAGCTGCCAAAATTTGTAAGAATAAACGATATGTTAACAGCATGTTGCCTGACCTCGGACAATGAAATGTTTCGGCGGGCGTCATCCTGTCTGTCAAACCTTTTGTCTGTTGCAGCTTATGGACAGGGGTATGCGTGGAATCCCGCCTCGCTGACGGTGTCGGTCGGGGACGCGGTGACGTGGCGCTGGGAGGCACCGGCCTTCCAGAAAGACGCCTACCGGGTCTGGAGTGTTTCCAGCCCGAGTGCAACCACCTACGATGGGGGGCCGCTGTACAGCGGGGACACAAAGACAGCAGAAGGTAGAATATAGAGTCACCTGTCAACGTCTTCACTGTTAGATGACTCGTGCTTTCTTTAATCATTTTGTTACGGGCAGTGTTAAGAAAAATACATAAAATTGATGGTTTAGTTTTAGTTAATTTCCCATCAATTCTGCTGTAACTGCAAATAACTAATACATCAACCTGATCTCATTTAACTGGAATTCTTTTGGAGTCTGCGAGGTTGTGTTACGTGTCCCACCGCTCAACGAGCAGGAGAGACGTCATGCACAGGTCAGAGAATGCTTTGCACGCTCCACGATAGTTATGAACTCTCCCGCTGCTCCTCAGGGTTCTTCGCCTACCGCTTCACTACGCCCGGTGTGTATTACTACAGCAGCGGCTACGTCGACAACGGCAACAGCAGAAGCCTGCAGGGAGTCGTGAAGGTGGAGGCTCGGGCGGAGAGGAGAAGCGAGGTCTCTGTCAGCGTGGGAGGCATGGAGGCCAGTCACGTGACGGGAGGTAAACATGTAGATGTGGATAAAATTCACATGAATTATTTGCACTGTGACCTTTTTGTCGGAGATGCAGCGGAAGGAGGTGTATGCTATGGCTGGTACTATTATCCCATTCGTACACTAATGCACCCAATGAAACGTGAACATCAACAATTGTGTCAAAAAGACATAGACTAGGTACAGGTGTAGTTATTATTATTTGACATAATTAAGAAGATGCCTGGTGTGTATTTAAACACTCAACGTCTCGCCAAATGAGGTGAGATGAGTCAAATGAAAAAACACTCAACAAACTGTCTCCCCTTTAGGCTCTCGTCGTGTCTCCAGAGCCGCCTCGCAGTGCGTCGCCCCTCCGCCGTGCCCGCAGAACAATGTGACCGGCGGCATCTTCTTCAGCGCCTCCGACTGCTCCACCCCCTCGGTGCGCTCCATCTCCCCCAACCAGGGGTCCTACCACCAGGTCATCCGCATTCAGGGCACAGGCTTCAGCGACGCGGCCTGCGCCAATGAGGTGAGCAGGAAAAGTCTCAAATGCGCAGGAACGTTAACTCCTCGAGCGTTTTCCTCCGCCTCGCGTCCGTCTGACTCTGGCGTCCCGTGTGTCCCGCAGGTGACGGTGGGAGATCAGCCCTGCCAGGTGATCAACAGCTCTCACTCCGAGATCAACTGCCAGCTCGGCGGCGACGGCGGGCTTCCCGTCGGCGTCGCTCTCCCCGTGGCAGTCAGGGTCAACAACCTGGGCAGCGCCGTCGTCGCCGTGCCCGACGAACTCGCCCGCCGCTTCGTGGTCCTCCCGGCGGTGGACTCCGTCTCGCCTCCGGCCGGCAGCCCCACCGGCCAGACGCGGCTCCTCGTCCGCGGCTCCGGCTTCACCGGGGGGCCGGTGACTGTGGCCGGCGAGCCGTGCTCCGTTGTCTCAGCCAACTACACCCACATAACCTGCGACACCGCTCCCTCGCAGCCGCGGGCCGGGGACGTCGTGGTCCACGCCGGAAGGATCCAAAGCTCCTGTCATTCAAACTGCTCGTTCGAGTACTCTGCCTCCGTCACTCCCGCCATCTCCGCTATTTCCCCGGACAGCATCAGCAAGCCGACCACAGTCACCGTCTCCGGCTCAGGGTTCGGCAGCAGTGTGGCCGGCGTGGCCGTCTTCGCCGGCGCCTCGCCGTTGGAGGTCACCGCCGTTACCGATGGCAACGTCGTGTTGACGGTAAACGCCCTGCCCGCGGGCGAACACCCACTCAAAGTGATCGTGAGAAGTAGAGGCCTTGCATCCGGCTCCGTCGCCCTGCGCAGCCTCGCCGAGGCCGCCCTCCACCCGGACGTAGGCAGCCTGGCCGGAGGCACCGCCCTCGTCTTCACCGGAAACGGCTTCGCACCGGGGAACACCAGCGTGACGGTCGGGGGCTCACCCTGCGAGGTGCAGGAGGTGACGGCAGGCGCGCTGCGCTGCCTGACGCCTCCCGGTGGCGAGGGGCCGGTGACCGCCAACGTGCAGGTCTTCTCGGTGCGGTATCCTCCGCTCAAATTCACATACTCCGCAGAGCACACTCCTGTCATCAGCTCCATCAGCCCCAGCTCTGGTAACTACTGTAGTCATGGTAACACTGGTTAGGAGGAGAGTTCATTTCCTTATTTGGGAATGGCGTTTGTCCAGTCTTAAGGGTTTCAAAAGCAGCACGTATTTCATTTGGGTGGGTTATTCTTTGTGCACAACTAGGCGACGCTTGTTGTTCCAGATGTCTGATGGCCCGTTTGAAGTTAAAGCTTCGTAACCCCAGAGTAAAAACAATTACAGTAACACTTTAACCCCCACAGGGCCGAGCGGCGCAGCCGTCACACTGACCGGCTCAGGATTTGGCAACGACCCGCAGAACGTCTCCGTCACCATAAACAACGTCCCCTGTGTTGTGTCCAACGTCTCCGACACGCTGGTTCAGTGCACTGCAGGAGACAACCCGGGGGGGGCATACCCGGTCGCTCTGCACCACCAGGTCAAAGGTCAAGCCCGGTCGGACGTCACGTTCACGCACGAGCTGACCCTGAGCAGCGTGCAGCCTGACAAGGGTAAGTCTTAAAACAATTTCCTACAATCCCGTTTCTTGTTTTCCTGGTTGTGTGTACATTTGTATTTGATTGTCTTTGTCTTCATCCCCACAATTCAAGCGAGATATTGATAAATTCTTCCTCCCTCGTCTGGCTCTCAGGCAGTTATGGCGGCGGCGCTCTGCTGTCGGTACAGGGATCCGGGTTCGACCCCGACACCTCCACCGTGACGATCTGCGGGGAGGAGTGTGACGTTCGCAGGGAGAAGTCCACCTCGACCCGTCTGTACTGCCAGTCCCCGTCCATCACCAGTAAGTTCAGACCGGCATCGACTACTTCAACAGTCCCCTTGCTGTAATCTTTCACTGTCCACTCCATGTTTACCGCTTTGAAAAGAGTGTGTTGCTGCCGATACATATATCTCATATTATTAAGTCGGGCCATAAATGGGGATTGTTGACAGCCCGTCTTGGCAGCAGACCATGGCAGGCATGTCTCGTCAGACAATAACTCATCAGGGACGATAAGACACCTGTCAGCTGCTCGTCATGTCTCAGCACGCATCTCCATTCTTCCTCTCCCTTTTGTTCTCTCCCGGCTTCCTGCGCTCTCAGACGCTCAGTCGGAGCTGAGCTGCGTTGTCGCCGTCATCAACCAGCTGGACGCCGTCAACATGTCAGACGGCTACGCCTACAAATCTCAGCTGACTCCGGTGATCACGGAGGTCTCTCCGCGCAGAGGAGGCACCGCCGGGGGCACCCGTCTCACAATCAGCGGCTCCGGTTTCAGGTGCAGCAAAGGAGCAGAAGCCATTCAAGAGACGCGGCTCTGGTTTACGAGCCGGCGCTTGTCTCTGCTTTCACTGGGTTGAGAGCAACGACCTTTTCTTTGCTTTTGGCATTAATGGATTAAACAATACGGAAATGATCATTTTATACACATATATTTTGTACTAATAGTGGCAAGTAAAAAAGATTCAATGTATGCTACTAAATATACATCCTTACAGCAAGTACATTATAATAAGCAGCGGTTTTCCCCGTTTTATTTATTTCATATTTTATTATAGAATCAATGTACCATATTATCTTGAATAATAATATAGGGTAAACAGTGTGGTATATAGAAATATATTAGTATGGTACATAAACTATATATTTTGTAGCATGCTAAAGTAAGATGTTGTATATTAGTCATTCTTGTGTGGCATGCCATTATATTATACATTTGTATTATACATGTGAAATTTAACTCAGGTATGCTACACTATTGTGTAGATGGTTATCCTGTTAGTAAAGCAAAGTATCTTATTTTATCAGATGTAATGTCAGGTGTGATATAAGCTTTCATTTAATCCATTCATCCATTACCTCATAGATCCACTGACCGCTCTATTTCCCGCCCAACAGCAGCGACATAAATGAAGTCAATGTGACCATCGCGGGCTCCGTGTGTGACGTTCAGTCCACCAACAGCACGCACGTCATCTGCGTGACCAACTCCCAGCGACAGTCTCAGGAGGCCAAAGTCAGACTCGGCATCGCAGACCGAGGCATCGCCAAGATGGTGAGATCACATCCCCGAGCGAGTCCCAGCCCAGAAGCCCTTCTGTTCCTTATATGACGGGACTCGACTCTCGATCACACACTTTTAACTTCATCCCGTATTCGCCCCTTTCTTCAGGATAACGCGGACTTCTTCTACGTTGACGTGTGGTCGTCCAGGTTCACCTGGGGCGGTCTGTCTCCCCCGGAGAAGGGCTTGTTTGCTGTCATCAGTAAAGGCCAGACCATCCTGCTGGACACCAGCACCCCTGTGCTCAAAATGCTCCTCATTCAAGGTACACAAAAGACTTCATTTAGACATGTTTCCATCCGGACATTGTGTTTGTTTTGAGAAGAACCAACGCAAGTTGCCGGGTTTAGATTAAAACGTCTTCTTGGTCCTCAGGCGGCACGTTGGTGTTTGATGAGGCGGACATCGAGCTGCAGGCAGAAAACATCCTGATCACGGACGGTGGACGGCTCCAGATCGGCCAGGAGGGGGCGCCATTCCAACACAAAGCCATCATCACGCTGCACGGAAACCTGCGCTCGCCTGAAATACCGGTTTATGGAACCAAGACCCTGGCTGTCAGGGAGGGAGTGCTGGATCTGCATGGTATACAACATTCAAATGTAGAGATACAGCCAGCAGATGGTTAGCTTAGTCCAGCCCAAAGGCTGGAAACAGGTCAAAAGAAAAGAATCAGCCCATCAACACTTTTTATAGTCCGATTAAATCACTTTTCTGTATCAGAATGTTTCCACCAGACACTCGTCACCCGAATATTCCTGCTGCTTAACAGCCATTGGAGTTGTGTGTTCTAAAGGGACGTCATCATCGCCCGTCCTCCTCTAGTACAAGTCATTGTTGACAACCTGTTCCTCCAGGCATCCCAGTTCCCGTCCCCTGGACCCACCTGGCCCAGACGGCCACAAGCGGCTCCGACACACTGACCCTGATGAAGGCGGTGACCTGGAAAGCTGGCGATGAAATTGTCATCGCCTCCACCGGCAACAGGTGCCGTCTCGAATCCACGCGTGTGGTCGACGCAGACAAACTCGATGCTTAAATGTCGTCACGTATCTGTATCAACCCGTTGTTTCACTTTTCTGAACTCTTCGATTTTCTATTCCAGGCACAGCCAGGGAGAGAACGAGCAGATGAGGATCGCCGCCGTGTCGGCCGACGGCACGGTCATAACCCTGAGCGAACCGCTCAAGCACACTCACCTCGGGGTGACCGTCACGCTGCCCGATGGCACGCTGTTTGAGGGCCGAGCCGAGGTGGGTCTCCTCACCAGGAACATCGTGGTACGAGGCTCCGAGCACCAGGAGTGGGACGAAACAATCCAAGCCTGCCCCGACGGCTTCAACACAGGTACTGTACCGCTGTACCGCTGGGTAAAGGGAAAGAAGAAGAGGCAGAGCAGCGCTGTGCGGGCAAATGTATTCCAACTGATTGACCGGCATGTAAGTGAGTAACATCTTCCTGTCGCTGTGCCGCAGGTGAATTCAGCACCCAGACCTGTTTCCAAGGGAGGTTCGGAGAGGAGACCGGCAGCGACCAGTTTGGGGGCTGCATCATGTTCCACGCGCCCAGACCGAATGAGAATCTCGCAATCGGCAGGCTGGAATATGTTGAGGTGAGACGCTTCGGGCTTTCTCTGCCGTGTCGTATTTTATCCTGTGCATCTAGTTCTGTTTATCAGATCCTTCAGACCATTCTCTCCAATGCACGTTGGATGTTTCCTTTCAGGTCTACTATGCAGGACAGGCCTTCAGGCTGGGGCGTTATCCCATCCACTGGCATCTGATGGGAGACATCCACCACAAGTCCTACGTGCGGGGTTGCGGCATCCACCGGACCTTCAACAGGGCCGTGACCATCCACAACACCCACAATCTGTTGGTGGAGCACAACGTCATCTACGACATCATGGGCGGGGCCTTCTTCATCGAGGACGGTATCGAGACGGGGAACATCTTGCAGTACAACCTGGCCGTGTTCGTCAAACAGAGCACCAGCCTGCTGAACGACGACGTCACGCCCGCCGCCTACTGGGTCACCAATCCCAACAACATCATCCGCCACAACGCCGCCGCGGGCGGCACCCACTTCGGCTTCTGGTACCGAATGCACGAGCACCCCGACGGCTCGTCCTACGACGCCAACATCTGCCAGAAGAGGGTTCCCCTCGGTATGTTTTACAACAACACCGTGCACTCCCAGGGCTGGTTCGGCCTCTGGATCTTCGCGGACTTCTTCCCCATGCGGGACGGCGGCTGCCTGTCCGCGACCCCCGAGCCGGCCGTATTCCGCTCCCTCACCGCCTGGAACTGTGAGAAAGGCGCCGAGTGGGTGAACGGCGGCGCTGTGCAGTTCGTCGACTTCACCGCGGTCAACAACGAGAAAGCCGGCGTGGAAGCCAAGCGCGTCATGCAGTGGGCCGTGAGCGGCTACGGAGAGGCAGGGGGGGCGACGATGTCCAACAGCACCATCGTGGGCCACCTGGACGAGCTCGGACTGGGAGGCAACTACTGCACGCGGCGAGGTGTCATCGCGCCGCTCGACGACGGCCTGAGCGTCATTAACACCAAGTTCATCAACTTTAACCGGGACTCCTGCGCAACAATCGGGGTGGCCGCCATTGATGGGACGTGCGTGGATCGCTGTGGTGGCTGGGCTGTGAGGTTCAGTGGGAACAAGTACTTTGACTCCCCCAACAAGGTGGGCTTCAGGTGGGAGCACGAAGGGCAGCTGGTCGACACTGATGGCTCCCTCACAGGTACTTCGTCGTTTTGTTGTATAACCTTTCCAAAGTACTTCTTTAATCAATCCATTTTCAGAAAAATGTTGTTACTATATACAGTATATATCTCTATATTTCTTATTGTCAATAATTAGCAAAAAACAACCTTTTATATCCTTTTTGTATGTTAGTACAACCGCACTGTAAAATAAAAAATTCTTTTGAAGTTCATTTAAATCAGCTTTAAATGGGCTCATCTTCCATCCCTGCATGCGACTAAACCAAGATTCCTTGTTTCCAGGACACATAAACCACAAAGTGGTGCCTATGAGCCCCCTGCTGGATCCCGCTCACTGTTCCCAGAGTGACGAGTGGAGTGTGGGCTTCCCGGGGGCCGTGTGCGACCACACCGTCAACTTCCATCGACTGGCGTTGAACAACCCGTCGCCGACCTCTCTGCAGGGCAAGGACATCATCTTAACCAACTCCCACGGTACATTTACATGGAACTCATCTGTAAATCTGTATTCAACTCTACTGGGAATTATTGGACAGCGCAATAGATCTATTTCATCAAATATTATGAATATTATTATAAATAGCACACACATATATATATATATATATATACATATATATTTATTTATATCTATATTATTTATATATTTATATAAGTGGTTTTGAATTGCAGGCAGCAGTGCTATTCCCTTTCTGAAGAAGAGGATGACCCATAAGCTCGGCTGGATGGCCCTGCTGCCCTCTGGTCAAACGTACAACTGGTACTTCAAAGATATGGATCACATCACCAACATCACTTACAGTGCAAAATTCTACGGTTTCAGCGTACGTGAGAGACCCGTCACATGCTGTGATATAATATGACAGTACGTAACAGCTTTCTGCCTCTTTCACTGTATACTGACACTATCACTGTCTTTTTGTCCCCCCGCGTCACAGTCGGATCAATATGTGATCATCAACCACAACCTCACCCAGAGTCCTGATCGATTCAGGATCCTCGACGAGAGGAGCGGCTCGTCGACGCCGCTGAGCTTCAGTGACAACAATAACGGAGACTGGTACTTCGACAACAGCACCAACAACCTCCACTACATCGGTTAGGCACACTCAGATCTATTGCTAATTGTTTTTTTTTGTCTATTACGCAACAACAAAAAAGCCCAACATTGATGTTGCGAGATGTTGACGCTTAAATATAAAATATATTTGTATATATTGTATAATTATGTATTGTCTGTGCGGTCTGAAACGGAGCGTTTTAGAAAGAGGTTTATTCAGACAGTATGAGAGAAATACTGTGTTATTTTAACATTGAAGCTTGTAGAACAAAGAAACATGTTCCAGTAGAAACCCCAAATGAGTGTAGCAACCTGAATGTGCACCATACGTCTCTTTTAAAAGCCGCAGTTAGCTAGAACATTCTTTCATCTCCGCCATGCGCCCCCCCCGTGTCCGCAGTGTCTGGGAAGACAAACCAGCGCAGGCGTCGGGACAGCGTGGACCGCTCCATGAAGGACACCGCCGTGGACTTCAAAGTCTACCGCTGCTTCTACCTGGACTGCATCCAACCAACACCCCCACCTCCAGCCACGCTCGCCCCTCTACCCGCCCACCGGCCTGACCACTTCATGTACGTTCATCCCCCCATGCAACATGCCACTCGTGACCAGCAGGAAACTCAGCAGACTGCAGAATAACAATTTATAGCCAAATTCACTTAATGTATTCAAAGTAGGAGTCGCATCTTGTTGCCACAGTTTCTAACATTTTTAGGTGTATTATCACTGATGTATGATCATGCAGTTTTTTAGCTGTGGTTGGTTGAGGTACATTTTGAAAACTTCAAACTTATTATACAAACAAATAAAGAGGTGTCTTTCTATATGAGCGCATGCTAAAAGTCATATCTTGCAGTGCTATCTAAGTATCTATCTTCTATCTTGATTTAAATTTAAATATTTAAAAACATTTGAATTTCTTTTGATTTGGGAAGCTGAAAGGAGTTGTTGTTGTCTCCTAATCCTAAAATGCTCTTTGTACTGCACGTGTCCCTCTCTAGCCGGTGGTCCAATGCCTCCTTCTGGACAAGTTCACCTGAAAACAACTTCACTGCACCTACAGAGGGTGCTGACGTGGTCATCCCATCGGGTAACAAAATAAAAAACTTTATTTCCACAGTGTTGATTTGATTGTATACTGTTGTATTAATTAATTAATTAATACTCGTGCACCCCCCACAGGGACGTGGGTCGTGTTGGACAGTGACACTCCCCCCCTCAACAAGCTGACAGTCATCGGAGTTCTGGAGATCCCCGACAACATGAACAGCTCGTCGTCGAGGCAGGCCCGGGCCGTCCCCGAGTACAGCAGCGTGGTGCTGGACGCCGTCTACATCTCCATCCAGGTCAGTGTGATCAGTGGTCATCTCCTTGATCCGCAGGAAGAGGTCTTCGGCTTGTGTGGGACTGGATGTCTCAGTATCTCCAGTGTCACGACTGAACGGAGAAAAGACGCCGGCTACTTCAAGCTAAACAGTGTTCCCTGTAGTATAGCGTAGTGCTGTTTGCTTATGTAAAAATGATCCGTTAGGAGTCAGATACTCACAGTATGACCCGTGCAGTTTGATCGCCGTGTTTGGTGAGCTGACGCCGGCGTCCCGTGCGCTTTCAGGGCGGCCGGCTGATTGCAGGCTGGAACGACGAGCCGTTCAGAGGTCAGCTGCACATCAAGCTGCGAGGGAACCACCGCACGCGGGACTGGCCTCTGCCCAACGGGCCCAACCAGGGCGCCAAGGTCCTGGGTGAGTGAACAGCAGCAGGAACAACCCCACGAAGCTGTTGTATTTCATGCACATGTCTTCTTCATATTCTAAACATATTTGTGTACTGCATTTGATTATATACTTCTTGTGTAACATTCTGCTGTATTTTATATATTGTAAATATAACTACATATTGTAATTTTGTAAACCTAGACATATGTTTTTATTTGAAAAAGTAATACAGATTTACATGTAATATTTCTACTCCTACACAGACACATGTAGGTGTATTTGTGTTAAAAATGGTTTGACAAAAAGAACTTTTATTGATTGTGTGATGACTTAATGAAGCGTCACTGCGCTCCATCAAACAGAAGACTGAGCTTATGATGCTCCTTTGTCTTCAGTTTATCACACCGTTAATGGCGTCTTCAGTGTGTTTACGAACTGACTCTGTGTGTGTGTGTGTGTGTGTGTGTGTGTCTGTCTGTGTGTGTCTGTGTGTGTGTGTTGTACCACAGGTGTGTTCGGTACACTGGAGCTCTACGGACAACCTCGCAACGTGTACCACACCAAACTGGCCTCCAGCGCCGCCGCTGGCTCAAATACCTTGAACCTGTCGCAGTCCGTGGACTGGCAGGTCAGAGAACTGTCCTCTTACGGCGGCCTCGCTGTTTGTTTCATTGAACGGAGACTTTGGATGCTTGAGCTATTCATCCCTTTAAGTGTTTAGCTCTGATAACAGACCGGAGAAGCAGCACCAGTCGTTTTGCTGGTCTACCGCTGTCTAAGGCGGTTAGTTAGTTGTGTGTGGATAAATACCTCGTACCACCCAAACAAATTCAGACCGTCCTTTTGAGTTTGCTAGTACAGCATTTTGAGTATTTAACCACACGTCTGCTTGTGTGCAGGTCGGAGAAGAGGTGGTCATCTCCACCACCAGCTACAACGCCTGGGAGACGGAGAAACTCCAGATCACCGCCGTGTCAGCAGACGGCCACGTCCTGACCCTGAACCAGCCTTTGACCCACACGCACATCAGTCAGTCCAGCGTCTCTGTGGAAACAGCAAATGAGCTAGAATGTTAAACCGCTGCAACATTTATATTTGGTTTTGATATTCACGTTGCAATTGTACATATAATGGTTTGCTTTGTATCGCTGTATTGACCCTAATCTTTGTCTTCAGGTGAGACTCACCCCGTCTCAGGTACGCCGTTGTCCTACACTTTGGCGGCTGATGTCGGCCTTCTGACCAGGAACATTAAGATCATCGGTGAGGAGTATCCAGAGATGATCTCGGAGTCATTCGGAGCCAGAGTTTTAGTGGGCAGCTACTCCTGGAATGGAGTTGACTACAAAGGTTAAAGTATACATTCTGACATCCCAACCAGAGTGAACTTTAAAGCAGTTCACCTAATCTTTGATGAACATTAAGTGCACCTTTGTGGTTTATATTCAGACTCATTAACCATCTGGTCCTTTCGTGTTTTACAGGCAAGGCTCAGATGAGGAATGTGGAGTTCTTCCGCTCTGGTCAAGAAGGCTGGACCGACTCCACCGACCCTCGTTACTCGGTGGCCTTCCTCAACCTGGGAGAGGTAAAGCAACACACACACACTAGCTGTAGGACTAAAGGACTACGTGCATGTTAAATAAAACTTTAATCTGAAGGGACACATGCTCAAAGTGCGTTGTAGAAGTTGGAACCTTAAAAACCGGACTGCATTGATATATCACACATTTGTATTACAATACTTTTATAGTAGTACGCTGCTCCATCGTGTTGGAGGAATGTGTTCAGATGGAGAATTATTGCTCAAGATGTGATTGATTTTTAGTTTCATTAAAATGAAGAATGAAAATATAATTTTTATTAGTACAGCAATATTTTCTCTTTGTCCCAGAATTGTGCAGGAATAATAGCTCACTTTCTTCTACATGAATGTCTAACTGCATAACTGAGCTGAATATTTCGTCTCCTGTAACATTCAGCAGGGCTTCACATAACCAATATGTAATACTGTCTTTGTTAAAAGGTTTCAGAAGAAGACTCGTACATTCAGGGTTGTGCTTTCCATGACGGGTTCTCCCCGGCCATCGGAGTCTTTGAGACAGAAGGTCTGAACGTCGACGATAACGTCGTCCACCACACCGTGGGAGAAGGTAAACACGTCGGGGTCGAGATGCAATCAAGTGATCACAACACGAGGCATGATTGTGCCAATTAAATTAAACGACCCCCCCCCCCCCCCCAGCACTAAAGTCCTAAGATCTGTGTGTGTAGGTATCAGAATTTGGGGCGACAAGGTGAAAGTGAGGAGGAACCTGGTGGTGATGACGCTGTGGCCCGGCTCCTATCAGGACAGGGAGGAGCCCTTTAACTACGCCTGGAACGCCGCCATCGAGGTCAGAATTGTCACAGTCCAACATGAACAGCGTTGACTGCAGAAATCTCTCTCTGCGTTCACAATCTCTACTGTGGTTTTTTTCTTTTTTCAGGTCAGTGAGGGGACAAACGTGGTGCTGCAGAATAACATTGTGGCAGGTTACGAGAGAGTCGCTTACCGCATCGACGGTGAACCGTGTCCAGGTAACGCATGTGATCCAAACGCCTCGGCTTCACTGCTCAGACGGAGAAAAACGGTAGCTGCTGAGCTTCTGTCCTTTTTCCACACTCAGGTTACTCAAACGAGAATGAGGAGTGGATCCACAACGAGGCTCACGGCGGTCTGTTCGGAGTCTACCTGAACAAGGACGGCCTGCCCGGCTGCAGCCTCGTCCAGAGCTTCTTTGTCTGGAGGAGCTACGACTACGGCATCTACTTTCAGGTTCTGACTTCTTCCATTCAGTGGTGGGCCTCACAGTCTCACTGCATGTGACTGCTTCAAGAGGAAAAAGGGCAGGGAGAGTAAAAAGAAACTGGGACTTTAATCATATATAATGGGTTTGGAGGAAGCACTGAAGTTCACTTTGTTTCTGCTTTTTGGAGATGAATTGGAGATGAGTTCTGAAAACGTTTTACCTGAGAAATATTTCTGGAAAATATCTCTAAAAGCTGAATTAAGGGATCCCAAGAAAAAAGGAGCCACATGATTTAAAACTCAATCTAGATCGATTATTGACAATGACAACTGACCTCCGTCCTCGTCTCCGTCTTCCTCCTTCCGCCCTGACAGACCATCATGAGCGTTATCGTGTCCAACGTGACCCTGGTGGACAACGGCATGGGGGTGATGCCTCTCATCTACGCTCCCCCCTCCCTCTCTCACGCGTACGCCGACAAAACCGTACACGTTCAGGTGGATTTCCTGTCTCGGCCGTCCCTTTTTCTCTCATATTTATTTATTTCACGCATCATGTAGTGGACAGATGTCACATTCCCTGCTGCTCACCTTCTCCTCAGAACGCCTTGATTGTTGGCAGCAGCCCGAGCTTCGACTGTTCCGCCACTCTGCCCAGCGGCGACTTCAACGTGGTCAACAGCGACAGCCACCGAGCCCCACGACCCCTCCCAGGTGTGCAGAGCGCAGGCTGGAGCCGGCGCCACGTCGCCCGTCACTGCTCATCCCGGGACGCCGTCACGTTCACCCTCTGGCAGTTTGTTTGAACACCTCTGTGGCTCCTTTCTCTCTGCACAGGTGGCAGATCTGGAATCTGTTGGCCGAACTTTGCATCCAATCACAACACTGCTCCGATGAAGGTCCATCATCTAAACATGAACTACAACGCCATCAAAGGACTGATGAAAGTCACCGGTGAGTTTAGGCTCCAGTAGTGATGTGTAAATATCTAAATTAGAGCATATCCCTTATTTCCCTACCTGGCTCCCCAGACACGATGTTTGTCGGTTTCCGCACGGCCTGCTCTGGCGAGACCGACGTCATGTTCCTCACCAACCCGATCAACGAAGACCTGCAGCACCCCGTGCAGGTTTCAGGCATAACAGTGATAGACAGCACAGAGGAGGCCAAGGTCTTCATCCACCGGCCGGACGTCAGGTAAATCATTGCACGTCAACACCCCAAGTATGACCTACATTTTCAAAGTTGCAATATTTTAAACTGACAAACCCCATGTTTTGAAATCCAAACAGCATGAGATTTTAGCTTTAAACTTCCAGGTGTTTTACTCGCGATCAAAGCAAATGGATGTCATGATGTTTTTGTTGCCTCAGGAAAGCGAACCCGGCTGACTGCGTGGACATGGACTGCGACGCGAAGAAGAAGAGCCTGCTGAAGGACTTGGACGGCTCGTTCCTGGGCGCGGTGGGAGCTGTGGTGCCTCAGTCCGAGTACGAGTGGGGAGGTGATCCCAGGAGAGGGCTGGGCGACTACCGCATCCCCAAGGTCATGCTCACGTTCCCCAACGGCAGCCGCATCCCCGTCAACCAGATTGCGCCGCACAAAGGTAAACTCCATTAATGGAGAAACGGAAAGCGTTAAATACTCATGGAAAGACAGTGGCTGGCTTCGACGGCATGTTGGAACCATCCTCGGAAATACAATATATAAATATGTGAATCACAGACCCGGAAGAGGAGGCTGGAGTTCCGAGATGAAACTTGTTGAAACGTTGTAAGTTACAAAATGCCGTGTTGCTTAATTCATCAGGTGTGATCAGGGAAGGCTGCTCGTACATGAGCTCCTGGCAGAGCTACAAGTGTTTCGGGCTGAACTACAGGATGCTGGCTATTGAGAGTCTGGACTCGGACACAGAGACCCGCCGTCTCTCCCCCGTCGCTGTGCTCGGACGCGGCTTCTTGGATCTGATCAACGGTGGGTTGCGCCCGGTTGTTCGGAAGAGTTTAAAATGGCCTCTGTGAGATCCGTTTTAAAAACCAAGAGGAAGTCTTTAATGTGTCTGTGTGTCTTTGCATCCAGGTCCTCAGGATCACGGCTGGTGCTCGGGTTACACCTGCCAGCAGAGGGTGTCTCTCTTCCACAGCATCGTGGCCACGGGTTTCTCCTTCGACGTGTTCTTCACCAGCGTCAGTCCTCAGAAGCTTCGCCTCATGATGCTCAACGCTGATCCATCTGAGGTCAGAATACTAACTAGGCTTCTCCAGCTTCATTTTAATGCGACTCTTAAATGTGATAACAAATCCATATATGACCTATTAAACACCTCTGGGCCTTTTTGATTTGTGCAGAGCGTCATCGTGTCAGTCTTCTACTCCAAGCCGCAGCGGTTGGACGTGTACGTTGACAACAGTCTGGTTGCTCCGACTAACGTCCTGTGGAACTCTGACAACACTGACTACACCCTGAAGAAGCCCAGCTATCCAGGTACGACCGCTCTACATATGCGGGCCGGCCGCGTCCGCCGTGTTTCTGCTGTTGGGGGAATGATGTATGTGGATTGTGGGCCTTTGCATTTGAAAACATCTTTTTCCTTTCAACAATCTGTTCATCTTTCTTTTATCCCTTTTTTCTTTAGGTCAACATGACCCCCAGCTGAACGCCACTCTAGGCACCAACTACTTTGACCACGAGTATAAGATGCTGAGGGTCGTGGTGAGAGGCTCCAAGCCGGTGGAGATCCGAACCGCCCCGGTGCTGATCATCTCCTTCGAGCTGCCCGCCATGACCGAGGCCGAGTTCTTCGGTGACAGCCTGATTCAGAACCTCGCTACGTTCCTCAAAGTTCCCCCAAACATGATCCGAATCACCAACATCATCCGGGAGGACGGAGGCTCGAGGCGGAGGAGGAGATCCACGGGCCTGAAGGTGGAGGTGGAGATCAAGAAACCCCCGGTCCACCAAACCTCCAACACCACCAACGGTTGGTGGGAGAAGAACTCTGGTTTACGTGTTGACATGATGCAATGCTCAAGGGTCTTGTTCACATCTCTGTGTTCCCTCGGGTCTCCTCAGATGATGAGGACTTCACACTGTTGAAGAACATCGCCGACGACCTGGGACAGGCCGCCGTCTCCGGGAGCCTCAGTCAGTCAATCGGCTTCAACGTCTCCTCGATGGGCGTCATCCCTCCTCCTCCCCCGTCCTCTGACCCCAGCTGGAGAGAGGTGAACGTCAAGACTTAAACACGGCAGCATTTGCGCAGTAAAAAGTGTCAGCTCACCGGTTCGCTGGTCCTCTGCCCTGACACCTCAGGAGGCCACAGAGGAAGTGACGAGGGAAGAGCCGGCGGTGAGCTATGTGTCCAGCGTGAGCGCCCTGTTGCTGGTAGAGGAGCCGATAGCCGGCGAGTACGTGGGTCCTCTGCACCAGCAGCCGAGTCTGATGGCCGTGGACGAGCAGGTGAGGCAGCGCACAGCTGGAGAGCATCAGGACAGGATGTCTGTGGCTGGAGGACTTTTCTGGATTTTCTGGCATCTCTCTACTATTTCTATACCGAATACCACCGATACCACCTGAAAGTAGAGTTTCTGGGATCACATTTGAACACCAGAAGACACCAGAAATAAAATATAAAATACCATTTTATGGTATACGTTATACCATCTCTTTAAAAGTGACGGAGAAGAGTCCACACAGGGTTGAAGTGGACACTTCTTTTGTGCTCTGGTCTGCAGGGAAACTGTGTCTCTGTGGGAGTGACGTCCCTCACTGTCACGGCCAGCCTGAAGGACGCCGCTGGGAGCAGCGTGGACGGACTGCAAGGAAACACCACCATTCGGTTTAGGGCCTGCTGGGCGAACTTCACTGGCCTGTCCATTCAAAGCAGCGGTAAGTCTGCGTCATACTTTTAAAAGCAATATTGCAAAAATGAATAGATTAATGTCTTTTTTTTTGTTCATTTTGATTTTATCTTTAAAAATCAAGAAATAATTAGTGGAAAAAGACAAATATTCTTTGATTCCAGTTTCTCAAATATAAGGATTTGAATCGTCTCCATTATATTTGACAGTAAACTGAATGGACTGTTGAATTTTTTAGAGATCATTAATATTCACTGTGGTCCAGCCACTAAAAAAACATGCATGAGCACAATAAGGACCGCTCCTCTCCCTGCAGGCGAGAACCTGACCATGGTCTTCAACCTGAAGGACTGGGGCAGCGAGTCTCGCGCCTTCTCCGTCCAAGACAATCCGACCACGCAGTCGCCGCCTATAACCGACGGCAGCGTCTTCAGCTCCAGCGCCGCCGTGTCTGCCGGCAGTCTGTGTCTGGCCATCGTCATCTACGCTGTGGCCTGCTGCTTGGACGGCATTCCCCTCTGCTAGATAGATCTCTTTATGAGGGAAACGCTGACATCTTCAAGTATATCATCTTTTTCTGGGGTTCAATCTTCACTTAGAATTAAACAAAATGATACGGGTGGGGTAATGATTTCTTAAAAGTTATAGGTAAAAATCTGAAAGTGTCAGTTTGATATGCTTACTCTCATGGTGTGAAATCAAGATTGTGGTGAAGGCACACATAGCTTATGGAAAAGAAACAATACAGTTCGTCATGGAGAATAAATAGGGAGTCAGATGACGCCGGTTCAGTTTTGTAACGTGTCCCTCAGGAGATGACGGGACTCATGTGACAGTGGTTCAGTGATCACTTTTCCTCTGCAAAGATAACTTTCTAATGTTAAACAGGTGCAAAACGTGCTTAACTCGCCTTTGAAACCGTATGAAGGAAGATATGAAGTTAGTATTTTTATGATGATTAAAAACCAAACAATTTCTATTTTCAATAAATTCTATTTGTAATTAATTGATTGTTTTCGATCAAGTCCTTTTTCTAACACTCGGTGAAGCTCGGTGATCTAATAGCTCGTAGCTGTTTTTTTGTACAACTTGGTACCTGGTACGGCCTCCATTTGGATCTACTGAGGGGGCCCTTTCTGAAACTCTACATTCCTAGTCAGGTAATAAAAATTAATAGGAGCCTCTCTCTGCTATGATACAAATTCATGTGTGTGTGTTTATAATTAATTTATGCACTTCTGGTGTAAATAAACACCTTTAATATCAGGTGTTTTATAATAAATTCATGCATTTCTACAGTACGGAACTATTTTTAATAGAAAGTGTTCATAGTACATTTCAGTACTTCTACAAAACCACCAGGTTATATAAATGTCATTGAACTCCTCTGTGCTGCCCCCTTCTGGTCCCTCTGGAATGCAGCTAAAGCTCTGGACCAGAACGCTGACGCGGGTGGATTTGGTTTCCCCATGAAGTCAAACACAATGATACTGGAGACAATACAAGAAACACTGATCTTACATGTATTAACTTAAACTAACTTAAACTTAATTTGAACTGGCAACAATGCGCATTTGCAATATGTTACATTTGCTGTAAATGAACCTTTTGTGCAGGTCCACATATACGTTATTGGAGAAACAAAGACCTGTGATCCAAATCATTTAAAGTAAACTCAACTTTACTAAAGAATGACTTGGTCAGAATGAGATTACCGGTACTATAAAAACTTTACAAATAATGGAAACAACTCATAGACATCTGAAATGAGCAACAAGGGGCAACAACCAGAACAAGCCGAGAAGGTTGGAAACCTTTGACATGTCACATTGTGATGGAACAGTGTACGTGTTTCATGTCAAATATTGATCTGAAAAGTAACTAAAGCTGTGAAAGAAATAGAGTCGAATAAGAAGAAGAATCATAAATGTAACACTGTCAGATGTTGTCAAAAGGGGAACCCTTCATCCTGGTTACTTTCGCTCTGGTTTCGGCAAGGTCTTGGCCAACGATTCACTGTCTCGTTTCCTTTGTTAGCCTCTTGCTTCGCTGAGAGAAATGTACGTCGGCAGCGTCATGTGCACATTTTCTGGACTCATTTAATAATCATTTACAGCATTGCTTCAAATATCCGATATCTAAATTATGATAATAGACATAAACGCAGGAGCCCAGTCCCTTTCATAAAGCTTTATTTCACAAATCCTCTGTAACAGGAGGCCTAGGCACCAGGCTCATTATACATTTACATACACTGTCTGTGGCCGGTCCTTACAACGCTCCCATGTTAAATAACTCAACAATTCAAGACAAAAACAATAGAAACACACACACCCACACACAACTGTTCAACTTAAGATAACAATAACAATATTGCAAAGACGGTAATAATAACAACCATTGTCAAATATGATGTATTTCCTAAAATTTGTTACACTCTCATTTTTAAGGTGCACCATAAAATCTGCATGTGACATTTCCATAAAACTTGACAGATGCTGCACCAGGACACCCGGCGGAGACAGAATTCTTGTTGCACGTTTATATATTTCAGATGAGAGCTGCTCCTACTCGTCCTCCTGCAACATACTGCATGATGGGTATTCAGCACAGTTCATTGTTTGTTTGTTTTGGCACACATATTTTTCATAAGCCGCTGCGGTGGGGTTATGAATCTCGTAGCTGGAGCAGAGACGTAAGGCGTGCGTTTCCATGGAGATGTGCGGGGACTCACAGGACCTCTGCAGGGAAACAACATCAGAGGTGAGATGATTCTACATGCTGGATATGTTGGATAAGTTCATTGAAGGTGCGCTTGGCTCCGCGGGGCCCATGTGGGGCCTCCTCAGTGTACCTGCAACATGCTGAGGCTTCATGGGGCCTGTTTTCATCAGGAAGGGTTCTGCACCCTCGAACGGCAGGATGGGCTCTCCGACCAGCCCGCTCTGAGGCACAGCGGCGTCTCCGCTGCTGTTCAGCTGGACGACCCCCTGGAAGTCGGCGGCCTCCCCGTTGGCCGAGACGCCGTTCTGGTGAGCGGGGGGCTGGACGCCGTTCACCACAGGGCCGCACGCTGCCGCACCGGGACTCTGCACGCTTCCGGCTGCTGCTGAACGTTGGTATTAATGAGTAGCTACACAGATGAGATTTGAGTGCAACGCGGCGCGGCGACTGCCACACGTACCCTTGCTGAGCTCTGTGTCCTTGCCGTTGACCTGCGGAGAAGCTTTAACGTCCTTCTGGAACGACGGAGAACAAAAATACTTTTGTTATGGAGGAAGTGTGGATTTTGCGAGCTCGTTGAAAGGGAATCACAAAGACCTTTTCTCCAGCGTCGCTCTTCCGAGTCCTCTTCATGATCTCCTCAAGGCGCTGAGCAGATCAAACAAGAGAGATCAGTAAGTTACGAGTGGTTTTCTCTCCGGTTAGTGGGGTGAACTCCTGTGTGAAGGTGCTGTTTCACCTTCTTCCTCTCCAGCCGCTCCTGCTCCTCTTTCTGGAAGTGTTTCTCCCTCTCCAGGCGCTGACGCTCGGCCTCCTCGCGAGCTTTGGCTTCAGCTTCCTCCCTCTGAGACAAAAACAGAAATGTCCACCGAATAACAAATTATACCTCCGGAGACAATAAAGCCCTTTCATGTAAAATCGATAAATAACATTCACATGGCTTCTTGTATGGTTGCTAGCTAAACATTGAGAATACAAGACCTTTACATGTAGTGGGATATTTGTACAGTGTGGTTTGGCTTTTACTTAAAGAGAAATAAGGGCTGATCTGGTAAGTTTTTATTGTCTCAAGTCGCAGAGAAGTTTGGAATCTAGAATCACATTCACCAAATCATCAAAATATTCTGCCATGACATTGAAGCGAACTCCTTTAGGTGATCTGCAGCTACGCTTTCTGTACCACAACTCCCGACAAAACCATCCGGCAAAAAGTCACATGACCTGAGGAAAACGAAACGAAAGGTAAGGTGAGGATAAAGTATTTTATTTCTCTGTAGGGTCCACTTGTAATCACGTTGACCCTTACAAAAACATTCAGAACACTGGACACATTTTAGCAACCGCTGCCTCCCCATTTGTCATTTAGACGCAAAAACATGAGAAAATAGGGTGCAGGTTGAGTTCCACTTAAGTGAAGCTTTTAAACACGTTCGCGTTGTGTTTGTGCGTCCTGTAATGTAGGACAACCACCAGGGGGCAGCACACGCTCAGTCTGTTCTGAAGCCTTCAAGCCACCGCTGATATGATAGAACTCCATCACTTGCTCCACTGGGTTTTCAGATTCAGCACCAACCAAACAGATGTGTTGGAGTCAGCAACGACAACAAGAGTTTCTATGTTATGTTTATGTTGTTAGAACATGCCATTTTCACGTGTTTCACCACACGCATATTATCCGTGTCTGTTGAAGAGAGGGCCCTTATCACACGCGAGGCCTCTCTGGTTGCGAGCTCTCCGGGTAGAACAATGGTCCAATTGAAGGGGAAGGACGGCCGAGTGCTTCAGACTGACGCCGGCTCACCCGACTATCAGCCCACTGCAGAGCCAAGTGTACGAGACGGGGGGGGGGCAACACCCGCCTGTCACTATCTCCCGGATCACAATGGCCCCCCTCGGCGTCCGCTCATCACCATCATGGAGGTCACCAGCTGGCATCTGCCCGGGCCAGAGCGGGGGCCTTTGACTGAGTCCGTGACAGCGGCAAATATTCTCCCCCTTTAATCTGCCCAGATGCCCAGACAGCCAGTCCGTCTGTGGAGTCCGTCCGGGGGGTGAGTGAGCCCGATGTTTGGGCTCACGGACGAGATTGAACCCCCCCCCCTTTACAGCTCATGCATCCAAATATGCATTAATCTGCCCAGATGGTAAATGGGCGCACTAATGCGGGGGGATCAAAGGGATTCACGTTGCTTAATGAAAAATTAGAGGGGTTTCAGTGCTTTCAGTATTTACAGTTACCCAGATCCTGTGATGTGTCTCAGCAGTGAAGTGTCGGCCCCTGAGTTTGATTCCCACAAGATATTGCAAAGTTGGTTCAAAGGAATGGAAGAGTTGGGGATTTAAAAGTCATCTCTCACTGAAGTCATGGGGTTCTGAGCACAACACGGGTCCAAATAAGAGAAAACAGAAGCTCTCTGTGTTTTTATGATCTTATCTGGTCAAAACGTCTGCATAATGACCGATCCAGCTGTGTGCTAAGTGCAGGTCTATATATCACCAGTAAAAAAAAAAAAAAGTACAAATTGGTGTTTTCCCAATTCTGTTCGGTGGACACAGGACGTCCCGGCGGGACAGAGAACTGCTAAGCTAAGCCTGTTTATCTGACGACTTAAGCCAGACTTCTCATGACTAAAATCCTTCATCTGGTTTAAACATAGAGGGCTGAGATTTAGGAAAAGGTTTCAGCAAAAAAATGTGTGTCCGGCAATCGAAGGAAGGTTTGAAAATGGTTGGAAACATTTGTGATAATGTAACTAAACAACTTTAAAAGCTACAGATTATTTAAGTGCAGGTAGAGTTACATACTTTGATGGAACCTTTTAATCACATGCATGCTCCCTGGTCACTGACCTGTTTCTGCAGCCTCTCGTTCTCCTCCTGCTCGGCCGTGGCTCTTTCCTGCGCCTCCTTCTCCTCCTGAGCTTGCTGGGCTTCGTCCCTGAGGCGCTGCTGCTCAGCCATGAATCGGGCCTCCTCCTCCCTGCACTTCCTCTCCTCTACCTCCCGGGCCATCGCCTCCTCCCGCAGGATCCTGGGAAGACGTGTCGGTGTTACATATACAGCGCGCATGTCATCTACCCGGACAAAGACAAGCAGTCCGCTTCAGATGTCGTACATTTCTCAGAAGTACCTGAGGCTAAAACAAGCGTACAGTCATCATGCGACTCATCCACCCCGAGGCCACTAAGCGGATTAAAAACAATAGCTTTCTTTTAACTTTAATTAAACTTTTAAAACTAAATATGTTGTTAAAGCTTTCACATGTATTTATTTCAATCTTTCATTATGTTTAGCAATGAGATTTCTGTGTGAATATATTCATGGTTACTTAAACAAAGGATGGTACAACACAGGTTTCAACATATACATAATAGAAACACAGTTTCAAAGTAATAACTTTAGATTTCAGTGTTTTATTTGATTTATTTGGGTTAAAACCCTGCAATTATGTCATAGCAATAACTAGTAACCTCATGATGTGATGCAATGCCAGTTTAGTAGTTGTATTTATTATTATTATTATTTATTGGAGGACTGTCTTGAGTCTCATTTCGTAGCACTCACACCCAGAATGCAACTCACTTGTTCTTGCGCTCCTGCTCCAGACGCTCTTGCTCCTCTCTGTCCCGCTGCTCCCGGGCCTGCCGCCGTTTCTCCGCCAGGACGCGAGCCGCCTCCTCTGGGTTGTTGGTGCCTGCTGACGGCCTGCCGGACGGCGCTGTGGGGGCGGGGTTACCGGCGGCGGCTGGAACGGGAGGAGAAGCCGAGGCGGCCGGTTCTACGCTGCGAGGAGCGGGAGTCGCCTCGGATCCGACCGCTGGGCTGAGGGAGGGAGGAGTAGCCGCCGCGGAGGACACCACGATGGCAGGAACGCTGCTGGAGTCTACGAGACAGGAGACGAGGGAAGCTGGTGATTTTTTGTCCCCCAGTGGAAACTTCTCGTAGTCCGAACGCAGCATTTCAAATATATTGGCAGGAAGAGCAGATTACTTTTCAAGATCTTACAGTCATCTCTAGTTTTGCTTGACGTCACATTGATTCATACAATCACCTTCAATACCACCGTGCCAGTGACACAATGACAATGTAATCACATTTTTTGTATGGCGTATTCCTTCTCCCTGTTTTTTTTCAGTTGTATCAAAACCAGGGAACAAAATTAATTATATTATATTATATTATATAAAAAACAATGCTAATTGTAGATTAATAATCTTCATAATGTTTCATAAACATGATCCTGCCTAGAATCCAGATCAATTAGGATCAAAATAAACCACTTTTTTCTTACAGGCATTTTACTATAAATTGAACCTGAATGATGCTGCTGCCTGAAAGACTGCATGTCTGCCTGTGATGCATGCAGATGTTCCCCATGCTATGCTGCTTTATGGATGGCTGCACTGGGGAGGACTGGTGTGAGGGCACATTGACAGGATAGAGAGTTTTAATGCATCTGTGTTAATGCAGTTTCCAGTATTTCCAGTTTGTATACGATGTGCAGTAAGAACTATGTTTTATAATTAATTAAAAAAAGGAAAAGCCTAATTGCGGCTTCATCGCTCCAGATCCAGCGCGGCCTGTAAAGGCCACAGCTGGTAAAGACACACTCACACTGCAGTACTAACAAGAACGTCGACCAAGACATCCAGGTCACCTTGAAGCCTGGGTACCGTCTCCATGGCAACCACACTTACTCTTTTTCTCCTCTGGAGCACCGGGCTGCTTGGTATCGTGGCGCGTTTCCACGGCAACCGCGGCGACGGCCTGGGGCTGCACCCTGGCGGGCGTCCGGGCTCGCTTGGGCCGGGTCTTGGTGCCAGGTGGAGGCGTCTTCTTGCCCGTCGGGGTCTTGGAGGCCGCCGCCGGAACCAAGGGGGACAGGGGCCGACTTTTGGGGGCGGCGGGTGAAGGAGGTCTGTTTCTGGGCTTTGGGGTGCTGATCCTCATCAGAGAGGAGGTGGCCAAGGAGGGGAAACATTGGTCAGACATAGTTGGCGGCACAGGTTTCATAGCAGAGTATCAAGCGGTAATGAGGTTGTCGGCGCACTCGATGAAGCTCATAGCTGGGTCACGTGGGGGATGCGAGTGTCAATCTGAGACTCCATGATTCGTTGGCTGCAGGGGAGTGTAACCTGAGAGGACGGCTCACTGACCAGAGACCCTTTCAGTAGTTAGACTACAGCACCATGGACCATTTGAGAGCCATTAAACTGCTCTGAGGATAAAACACCAGAAAACGTGCGCTACCGTTCCCCCTCTGCCTCTCTCCTTCTTGAACTCTTGAATTTTTCTGGTTAAAACATGGGATTCGTTGTATGGTACCTGATCTCCGGCCTGGATCTCTGGGTGGTGGTGGTGGGTGATGTCGTCTGTCTCTTCTTCGGCACTTTGTCTATTGTGAGCGCGTTCTTCTCTTTCTCATTCTCCCTCTCCTTGTCTTTCTTCTCTTTCTTTTTTTTGTCCACCTTAAAGGACGACGGGACGGAAATGATCAGTCATCACCTCAGGCCGGGGCTGATATACACACTGTGTGTACGAGGAAGGCCTTTTGTTAGATGTCAGTATGCTATCTAAAGCCAGTATGACAGCTTAGTTATTACCTTCACACGCTTTGTTTAACAGACACATCACCGCTAGCGATCTCGTTACCATGGTTTAACGTGACTATTTTAAATGTTTGTTCTGGGGGCCGCAGAGATCCAGACATGACGTCCACGCATTGGCCTACCGGGGTGGAGTTTCGTCGCCGTTGGCGCTGGGTGATGTCCGGCGTGCTGGCGGAGGAAAGCCTCCAGCGCTCGGCGTTGTGGTGGGGGTGGTGATGGGAGCCGGCATTCAGCGGGCTGGTGGAGACTAAACGGGAGCAGTGGTGAGTAACAAATGATGTCAGGGGCCCCACACACACACACACACACACACACACACATCCACCATCCACAGGGATCCTTTAAAAAGGTCTCACAACATGTCATGGGACAACGACTATTGGTTATTGTTGTTAACCAATACAACAGAATAAATACTACTGCTAGTTCATTTTACAGTTTTCCCTCTAATTCAAAGATGACAATAAGTCCAGGGAAGTGGTTGCAAAGAAAGAGAAAATTAAGAGATTTCATGAAAAACGGTTGTTGTTGTTGAAGGTCATGTGACAAGCTGCAGGACTACCAAATGGACCTTGTGATGTATTTCTGTTCCCACAGATAAAGAAGGAAATACCAGGATAGGGAGGAAAATACCAAAAGAAAGCAAAAAGTCATCAAAGATTTAGTTCTGAGTGCTTTGAAACAAACTATACACCCCTGCACACTCCAGTGATGCGCTGAACAACCGGGAGGGGGGGGACATGGAGCGGGGTCTCGCACTCACACGAGTCGCTGTTGTTGAGGAGGGTGGCGGCGCTTCGACTGCGGGCCAGGAAGGACAGCGTCGGCGTCATGAGGCGCTCCACGATGCGGCTCTCCCAGGGACTCAGGCGCAGGCTGCGGGCTGACACACAAGAGCACGCCGTCAGTGTCGGGTCGCGGCCGTGCTCGCCGCCGAGACACACGCGCCCCCCGGCACACTGCCGCACAGGCCAACGCGCTCTGGGTGTGTAGGCGCTCGTGTAGATGACGCTGCGGCACATTCGCACACACTGAACTCCCCTCTGTCTCCGTCTGAGGCAGAGGGGAGTTCTGCTGCCGGAGGTTGGTGAGGAAATGTACTGTCAGGTTGTGACATCGAAGAAGATCAAATTTAAACTTTGTCAGTGGCAAATGAACACTTTTGTTTAAATGTATTTAATTGTTGAGTATGCTTGGATTACGCAGATCTAAATGTGTGATTCAGACATCCAGAGGTGGAGCTGAGCATCCAGAGACTTATGAGACTATTAGGCCTCGCTTTACCATTAAATGTTTGTTGTTACGTTTGGGGAAAGAACGGGGCTTGGATTCCAAAAGGAGCGTTTTGTATTTCTACACAAAACTCCAGTCTGCCAATCAGAGATTGAAAGACAGAGAAGTCCTACAGGATGAATGACTGAACATTGTCCCTCACGTCACACAGCACCAGACATCCGACAACAACACACAGTGGAACAAAGCCAAGTTCATTTCATTAAAATCACAATCACTTAATAGCCACTGTGGCTGTATACTCGAGCCCGATCAAACCCAATGCAGTGCACAGCTTCTGGTGAGTTCAGCATTCACACGACACACACTGCTATGACTTAAGCACCCTCCTGGTACAACACCGGGTTCATTTAACTTTTATTGCGTGTCATATGAAGTGAATTCAGCACGCATGACGTCCAGAAACAGCAGAATATGATCAAATTCTTAGTTAATTACACGTGGGAACACACAGAACAATACATCGTTTTCTCATGGGCAAAGCAAACGTGAATCTCAGAGAATCAAGTTGCACGGGAGCAGACGAAGAAAGTGACAATGGATGACGCAGAGTGCAATCAGACTTCAATCAGACGTTGCACCCAAGTGCAGATGAGGTCAGAGTTGGACAGAGGATGCACCGCCTCAACAGGAGAGATGATGCGTTACAACAGAGAGTCCAGCTGACAACATGCCGCTCAAAGATGGATTTTTAGTGACAACTCAAACCATGAGTACTGCTTCTTATGCGTGACACCTAAAACACGTACCAGAGAAACACACAAGAACAGCGCAATCACAACAGCGCAGGTTTAGTTGTGATAACGACAGGCTGGATCTTATGCAACTGTCACCTCTGCTGGTGTGACGTTGGCCAGATCATTTTACCAACATGTTTTATGACTAACTGATAACTCGGCTGCCTCCCGTTGCTAGGCAACAGTGGTTTCCCATCCTCCCCCACGTCGTTCTCCAATGCGGCAAGGGGAGGCTGCGCTGAGCTGCTGCCTTGTGAGCGACTGTTCACCTGCAGGTTGATTGACAATCCATCAATGCACCCCCCCCCCGAGAAAAATCTCTGAGAGCCAAAATGCTGATTTCACTGTGGGTGATACGATCGGTAAAGACACACCTAATGAGGCGTGAAGAACCTGTGACGAAGACACTGCTGCATATGTACAAATCAGGAGTCTAGCAAATTTGTTTTACTATTTAGCATAATACCACAGCATGTCGCTGCCCAAAAATCCTCAAGACCACTGATTAGTTTATTGGTAAAGTGAAAAGTTTTTTGTGTACTTTTTTTGAAATAATACAATATTTTTCATGTTTTTGACATATTTTCTTTTCTATCGTATGGAAAGAACCGAGGAGTTTGTTGTAGCATGCTAAGATGAACACCATACTGAGGAACATTAGCGTATTTAGCATGCTCACGTTAGCATTTAGCAAAATGCACCAGATCTTTACTGTACATCCTGTGACTTGTTTGTTTTAACAACATGCCAACTTACTCTGATGTGATGATAAATTGTCTAGTTTTAAACATATGTTGCCTTCGTGTAATTACGGGAAGTGACTGGAAAGTTTCTTGTAAAAGCTAAATTACTTGATAAATAACTGGAAAATGTGTCCCATTGTCGTGATAAAAGCATTTCAAATGACAGATCAAAAGTGCTTTTATTTTGGTGGCAGCAATGCGTTGGTGTAAATAACTAACAAAGCAGGAGCGGTTTAAACTCCATGTCTATATAAAGCCAACAGAATATAATAAAATACATGTGCATTTATTTGCTCTACTTTTATTTGCAACAATCACGCTATAATATCCACCACCAATTCCACCACCACACCAAACCACCAACAGTAAAGTGGAGGGGGGCAACCAATAAAGACAAGATGTGAACTTAGAAAAACTATGAAACACAACACACACATATCACAAAATATGGCTCGATGATGTCGTGGTGAAAGGGGGGCTGATCAAAAGTGCAGAGGAGACTCAAATCAATGACACCCACCAACTGAAATCAAAAACCAAGATGCACACGAGACCGAGAGCGTGACAAGCGAGGGGGAGTAGGTGGTAAATGACCAGTCACCAAGCACAGGCAGGCAGGCAGGCCACCAGAGACGACAGTTATAAAAAAGAAACGCCCCCCAAAAAAACGAGTGTGGGGGAGGTTGGAGAGGGGAGGGGGATGAATAGGTAGGGAGAGGGAGGGAGGAGGAGGAGGAGGCCTGGTGGACACTGACGCCGGGTCGTCCTTACTTCTGTTGGGGGAGTTCCAGAGCGTGGCAGAGGACTTGGACAGCCTGTTGTTAATGACAGGGTCCACCTGTCTCGGCAAGTTGACCGTGGAGGCCGAGCATCTGCCTGCACCGGAGAGAACGCAACAGACAACAACTGTTCACAAGGCGGCCGGGGTGCGGGCGGCCCCGGCTGAGGCCTGATAAGAGATGGGGGAGGAGGGGCGGCTGCCGGCTCCCCTCGGCCTGGATCTGGAGGAGATCAAGGACTCACCATTCTTTGAGCTCCTCAATAACATTAAGAAGGAGATCAATCTGGACTCGGCTAGACTTGGCGGGGGTGGGGGGGGGGGTATGTCGTGGAACTTTGAGGAAAACGTGGGAACGGGGTGGTAAGGTTAGAAATCACTACTTTTTACCTACAGCCAGAAATCAGCATAGCACACACACACACACACACACACACACACACATCCAGGTTCGTTCACACTCTGAAGGAGAGAAACCTGTCTTGACCTCAGTTTCACGGGTCCAAAGAGGCCGCCGATCACGGGTTTGGACGACCTGAAGAGGGGACAAGCTCACAGCGCTCTGAAGAACACGGCTCACACTGCTGACCTAATAAAACACGTTCATGACAGCTGCCGTGCTGCTCGTCTCTCTGAGCCCTTTTAAACTCACAAAACCCATTTCTGCCTGAAAGGACACGGCACTGAGGAAACACTACGGTTTAAATGACTGAATAAGGCCATATGCTCCTGGTACTCCGCCTTTATGAACCCTCAGTCCTTGAATTGCATCGGTTTGACCTGTGAGTCACAGTCTGTGCCGCGTTGCTCAATGTGAAGGTTCGAGTTACAGGACGCAGTATGTTGCTGTCTTCGCGGGAGTTTCCGTCGGATGGTCGTTCATTTGAAACTCACTTTCTCTGCGGGATGTCTGGTTGAGTCCACCCGCCCAGGACCACCTCTGCTGGCGGATCTCGGCCCACGTCTTCTTTGTTGACCTTTTGATAGCTGACTCATATCTCTCCTGGAGGGGCCACAAACGCTCACAGGTTGGTTTGGAAGTTATAGAGTAGCAAAGACATCTTGTGAAAAGGGCCGAGTGGCTGACTGGTGGTGAGCTACAGCCAGCAGCCTGTTAGCTAAGCTTAGCATAAAGAATAGAAACAGGAAATGCTTACTGTTTGCTTACAGACAGTAAAAAAACATGTTAAATAATACCTTTTACAGAAGGAAGCTGTATTTTTTAGTTTGAACAGAGCCAGACTAAACTGCTGCTGCCTACTTCAACACCTAATGCTAAGCTAGGCTAATGCCTCGCTGGGTGTCGCTCCAAACATTAAGTTGCTGTTCATCTTGTTTAACTTTGACAGCAAAGAAAAGAATAATCAATTTATAATAAAATATAGCACCACAGTTACTTTAATTAGACAATGGATAGAAAGTAAAGTAACTGTTGGGTAGACGTGCTATCAACTCATAGGCCTGATGAACTCGGGACAAGGAGACAAAGGAAGGAACTGTTTCCTTTTTAGAGGCCAAATAGAGGTCACAGGATTAGGAACCAATAATGGGATCAATAGCTTTTAACTCGCAGTACAGCCAACGACAAATCGGACATCATGACTGCTGGAAAATGAGCTGTACGTAGCCAACACTTTCCATCTGATACTCAAGATGTGATCCCTGTTACACAAGCAATTCTCCAGTGGCCAAAAACTGTTCGAAGCAACAGGCTGAACGCGCGCACAGTGATGACCTTTCCACCCTGACTTCAATTACCAACAACTATTTTGGATAGCAGGACACACTTCTGTCTCTATATACTTTAAAATACATCAGTCTGTGTTATTGATGACAACCATATAAACTCAAAGTTTAATCAAATTGCATCCATGGGTTGAACCATTATTGTATTTTCTCACCTTATTCTTTTCTAGCTTCTGTCTCTGTTTTTCCTCCAGCAGAGATCGGCGTTTCTCAGCCTTCAGCCGCTGCTCCTCCAGCTTCCTCCTGCGGCCCTCCAGCTGGCTCTCCCGCAGACGTCGGGCCTTCTCCTCCTTCTCCAGCCACTGGGCCTTCTTCGCTGCTGCAGAGTCACCACAGACACAGGGGTTGACATCCAGACAGCCACTCACATGATACGGATCTTTTCAATTGTGTGGTCATCTGAATAGCCTATTTATTTCCCTAAATGGATGATTGAATTATATGACAATAATAAACTTGTTTCAGGTGTACCCTTTCTTGAACATTGTTGATAAAGTGATTTGGAGGCCGGATAACAAAATAAACCTTAGTCAGTAGAGAAGATTCGAGGAAACACTTAAGGTGCGACTCATCCCCCAAAGACCCTCCATATCTGAACCAGATTTCATGGCAATCCATTTAATAGTCACAAACGTTATGAAGTCTTTAGAATTCATGGGAGAATCACAACTTCTGGAGACCATGACTATCTGAATCAATCTATTGTAATTATCACTTGAGCCATGCCGCTAATAGACAATATTGAAAGAGAAACAGAAGAGAAGCCATTAGCCAATCTTTAGATTGAGATTTACAGAAGCTTCTTCTCAAAGCAGATTCTTTAAATCACTCCAACTCGTGATACTCAAACACAAGGGGAGAAGCAGATGGAAGACACTGTGTTCATTACACAATAACCCTGATAACAGTAAATAAGCAGAGGCGCCCCGTTGTGTTTTACAGCGCCCTCCAGCAGGCGCCTGCTTCTCTTTGCACATTCGCGGCTGTGGCTCATTTCCTGGTGCAACAATTAAACAGCAATCAACCCTCGGAAATGAAACCTTTTGTATGCTGGACGGCCTCTGTAATTGTCTGATTCATATCTTTTTATCACTTCAATATGCCTGTTTACACAACTTTTAAAAAAATACTTTAAACCCTAGATGATGATGCTGATGATGATGATGATGATGATGATCATAATGACAGTGTGTAACATGCTTCATCCAAACAAAGTAATGCCATGACATAATTATCTTGCATTGCTGGGCCTAAGACAGCATCAGAGATACGTTTTAGTGGATTAAGCTCTGCGAGGATGGAGCAGTGTTATGAGGCAAAGACATGTTTTGTATTAAGCTCAGATTTCAGTGAATCACACAAGGCTGAGCCTCATCAACAATGAAAATGTATTTTCACTCCTCCATAAATCCAATTACTGAAGTTTAATGTCAGCAGGATTAACAGATATGTCGGTATAATGTAGGCGTGCTTTTCTAGTTCTCACTTTTTGCAAAAAGAATTAGGTGCACCATTGCTGCCGCATAAAAATGCTCAGTTCTTTGTTGCAAATGTAAACCAAACATCATGTTTTGCGACATGCCATTATGCGCATACAGTTCTGAAAATAATGCATGCTCACATGAAAAAAAGTCTTACGGTTGCACCATATAACTACATAACAAAGTAGACTGCAGGAAACCTGCAATCTCAGAGCAGCTAAAGCCTGTAGTGGACCTCAGATACCATCGATGAAATGGCAGCAGAACTCTGCTTCAACTGAGCATGAGCACTTTATTGATGCTAATGAAGCTAGTAATTAAATCTAATCTGTCTGAGAGGCCTGGCCTCAGTTCGTGGTAATGGCTGCTCATTTTTCCTGCCCCGGGCTCCGAGGACGTCTCTGAAGGGAAAGGCCCACCGAGCTCCGCTCTGATTGGCTGCGTGTATCCACGGGGAGAAGTGTTACTAGGACTGGAGTAATATTTTCATCAGAGAAAAGTTTCATTGAACAGCCACAAAGTACAACCATGGCTGTTGGTGTTGGACGTGCCAAAATACAAAGTAAATATGAACAAAACACTCAAAAAGCACAAATGATTCGTGGAGGGAAGAAGCAGCGTTGATTCTCATCACAGGTTTGATTATTCTTAAATGACATGAGGTCTGCGGATGACGAGGGGTTTTAGTGGAGCCCCTTACCTTGCAGCTGAGTTTGCTGTTCTGAAAGCCATGCAAGGAGAAACAGTGAGAGACGACAATAACCGTCAGTCACACCATAAGAGAGTGAAAGAGTTAAGAGGAAATGTAATACTACCTTAAGAATAGATGATGTGCATGCATCAAGTTGGTTACAACACATTCCAGCTTTATGCATCACTTGAGTTCTTTTAAAAGGAAAATCCAAGTTGTTTAAAGTTCAAAAAGCTCAACACAGCCTTCACATTGTTCTATAATCTCTTACCGATATATCTGGCTCTCTCCTCCCTCCGCTCCTTGGCAAGTTTCTGCCGTTGCTCTGAGCTGATCAAATCTGCAGGGAAAAAGAAAAAAATATAAAGTTTTAGTTTGTTTTTTTATAATTGTGGAAATTTTCTTGACATCCCAACATCAGTCAATACGTCTGGAATCTGTAGTTTTCTCAGCCAGAACGGTAACATGCAACAACCTCTGGCTCCTAAGTGCCTTAAACCTGCATTGTCTAATGGCCATGAGCGGGCGACTCCTTAAGTTATTAGTCGCTAGCTTCAGTTCTTCTCCAATACAGCATGATGTTCATTTAGTAAACGGTGGTCCATTTACAGTCAGGCTTTAGCCTGGAGGTTGTCTGTATTATTTGTCTCAGAACGTTAACCCTTTCACTGTATGTTTCCATGAAAGTTAGTTGTGAGCTTTTTGGTCGCCTAAAGCTAATTTAGCTCCCAGTTTTACTTTGGTGCTGAGTTGGTGTCATAAATATAATAAAGCGCTCGGTGGAGCGGAGTAGGACTTCTGTAGAGATCCTGAAGGGAAGAGCCACTCCATAGGGGCCGAGCATCTGATTAGGATGCACTCTAGTCGACTCCCCCGGCCGACCCAGAGCATATGAGGGGGATCACGTACCCCATCTGGCCAGAGAGAGTCTTGGGATCCCACAGGGAGTAGCTGGAGAGGAACTGGCTGCCATTTGGGGCTACAGATTGGTTGTGGTCACATTATTGAAAATAAATGTATCTTCAAAAAGAAAATGAGTCATTTATGAAACAATGTCCACGTTATTTTGATTATTCTAAAAGTGGTGGAACACGGGGATTTCTTTGCGTCCCTCCGCGACGCTGACACAGTCTGTGAAACGCCACGACTGAAAAACCAGGACCCCTGGGGTGCCCGTCTCCTTTTGATGCTCCGTGCTATGTAATATGTATGCCGAGCATTTCTCGACCAATCGCAGAGGGCCCCGCAAGCACTTCGGGCAGCGTCTCCATGGCAACCTGCATTTCCTCCCCGCCTTTCGCACTGCTTCCTACGCGACTGCACACTTCAGCCTGACAGATATGCAGCACGCTGTGGCGCGCCGAGGAAGATGCATGTCATCGTCGGGGAGGTCCCGTCCCCCTCCCCTCCGCCACCAGTCCTCCTCGTCCGTCTCCCACGGAGCACATGGCCATCTGACATTCAGCCACTACATTCTGTCAGGCGGAATGACTCGATATTCATTAAAGATTTAGGAAAAACTGTGTGCGAAAAGTATCCATGAATGCTTTTAGGTTTTAAATGCGATGGTCTTTGAAGGTCAAAAATGAAAAATGGAGGACGAGAAAATACCCGACAGTTCTTATACTTTTAATGGCTGATTGTGGGAGCCACTGCAGCGTCTCATGGGGAGCAACTGGGTGATTTAAAGGCAGCAGGTTTTGACCAGGAGGTAAACAGATTGGCCCACAAGCCCGACGCATTCACATAACCAGCGGCGTCGGACAAAAAGAATGAGTCCACATATTACGACTAGTTCTGCGGGATAAAAGGGTGTAAATGGCAGCATCCAATATCCAACGGTTGCAATTGTTACTATTGCTCATTAGCCATCACACCTTGCACTGAATCAGCTGAATGAGCATCTCCCTGCTCAACTCTCTGCCTTAATTACCCATTTGTACCAGAATCCTATCTGATCCCAGCCGATTAATCACACAATTGCTAATTCAGTACAATACAGCATCCCTTCCTGTGTGTCATCTCCTATTTGCTGCTGAAGAATATAAGCATATAAACAGACAAAGCCACCATTTCCTCCCTAGTCATCAAACAATACTATCATCTTCTAGTCAAAGCTCCGTGGCCTCTCTTGAGGAAGTTAATGCCACAGCTTGCGATGTTATTTACACAACACCTTTGGGATTAGCTGGAACGAACCAGGGGTTATCGAAGCGAAACCCTGCCGCTCCGATGCCTGAATGGGCTCCAGGAGATAATGTGGAAAGTATTACCAGAAGAAGAACGCCTGAATCCAACAAATGTGATGATTTCAGGTTAGGCACTGACTCCATGACTCAAATATTGAACAACAACCTTTCTTGGGCTGAGGGCTGCTGCCCGGGGTGGAAGGCCTCACATCCGTCTTGGAGGATGCATCTGTCCTGGTGGGGGTCTCTGTCATGGGGCTGGACTCGGTTTTGGGGGAGAGGTCCGTGACGGCTGAGTCGTCTGAGATCGGAGTGTCCTTCCCCAAAGACGTGTCCCCATTCTGGATGGACTGCGAGCCCGTCTGCAGAGGGAGAGCTGGAGGATGAGAAAAAAGACAAATTGATAGATCGACAAGATACCAGAGACGGCAACGAGAGATGTTCCTTTGAATGTCTGACGTCCCCGTTGTTGGACAATCTCCTGCATCCTTTGCCAACGCGCCGTCACCGTAAACCCAGAAATCTCTTTGGGACTTAATTAACTCTCATTAGAAATCATTAACGCCTCCTTGACATGCATTTCTCTCTCGCGCCTCCTTCCCACAAGGCTTTTAGTCCTGCAGGGAAAAGGCCTCCCGTCAGCAGTGCTAAACGAACCACCAGTAGGTGAGACACAAGTGTAGGAATAAATCTCTTGAGGTTATCTTTCAAGAAGTGTAGCCAAACCAACAGATACACAGTATTTAAAAAATACACATTGATTTTTCCTGAAGGGGCACAAGAAAACTGCAGGTTGTTGTGTGCGTTTATTTCAGCTTGTTCTCCCAAGAAATATGCTACAATAGTAGGTATCATGGGAGTAATTGAAGATAATGGGTTTAATTGTCCCCGGAGAGCCACATAAATAGAAAATAAATCCTGTACTTAAACTGACTGACGGTCGGACCAAACAAGCAATTTGATGATTGGTCATTTAGATTCTGGGATATTTAGAATTTTTGGAAGCAAAACTTTTGAATTTTCAACTGCGGGAGAGTATTGAAAAGAAAGATGGTGAAAACATGTCTGTGTGTTTCTCTGCATGTGAATATGGACTTTGACAAGTTCCCCTTTAGACTACACATGAATCGATCATGAAAATAACCAGCATTTGCAACTCTACGCCATGTTTTATGAAACACAAAGTCCTCTAGGCCTCCTACCGTGAGCGCCATTGACAGCTCCACATAGATCCGGTCGTGAGGCCAGACTTCCTGACCTTTGACCCTTACAGAAGGCAACAAAGAGCTAGCAAAAAAAAAAAGCCACAAAACACATCCTGTTTTAATCCCGGCCCCCGACTTTGCTTTCACAAAGTGCCGGTACCGTCACTACTGCCTGCCGGACGCCCCCGTCCCTCCCTCCTCCCCTCCTTTGTCCCTCGCTGGCTGAAACACTGGAGAAGTCGGTGACAAGCTGAGCAGAGCCGCTATGACGCATTGAGGAAGAAGCGGGGAAGGAGGGAGGGGTTGCTGCAGCAGGAAGAAGAAGAATAAGAAGAAGGGACCATTTGTGCACTTCTCCAAGGACACTTGGAGAGTGAGAGGAGAGATTCGTAGAGAAAGGAGAGCTGGGGGGACAATGTGAGGGTGGGAAAATGGTGCGGCAAGCTGTTTTTACAGCGACTGAGGAGGAACAAGAAGGAACAGGATTTGAAAAGACTAAAAAAGGAGGGGAGGGATGGAGACAGTAACGGCGAGGCCCAGAGCTGGGGAAGTAATAATGAGACAGGAGCTGCGAGGTAGGAAGGTGAGAGGCTGCAGGCCTCAGTCAGCCAGCAGATGGTCCAAACGCTCACCGAACCACATAAACCACAGATTAACACTGGGCTCCTCTCCAGCTACCCCCACTGTACTTAAGTGCACAGGCTGCATTATGGAATACTAATGGAGGAACGATAGGACATGAACAAGAGCCCCATGTGTGTTTAGACAAGACACCGAGAAAAAAAGCTTCTGGTGCTGAAAAAAAAAAAAAAGGATTTGGCAAAAAGAGGATCGCAGTGCTCCTCCTAACTGGAGAAGATTACTTATTCACCCAGCGTGTTTGATTTCTATGAATTCAAACAGTTTACCAGCCTCTTATGGCTTAGGAAGCCTAAGACGGAGCCCAAGAACGTTGCTGATTATACGGGCACCAGAAGACTTTCAGGATGAACATCCGCAAACACACAGACATAAGATCAGAGGTTTAAGCGTCTATTCAAAAACATTTAATGTTGTACAGATGTATTACTTTCATTGTGAGCCTCTTTCGTTTTGTGTAGTTTGTATTAATCCTTTTATTTTTTGTCAGCATTGAACCGTAACTGTGTATGAACTCAACTGAGCGGGATTTTCAATTACAGAACTAGGAATTAAACTTGAATGTAGTGTGTCTTGATTGTGTGTGTATTACCTCCCACACCTGGGATGATGACATGTGCGTGTAAACTAGTGATGACACGCAGAAAAAATTAAAAAAATAATCAAAAAAAGAGGACGAGATCTCTGCTGAGGTGACCAGAACTAGAATGACAACATGGCTGCTTCTCATCAGCACTGACTGAGATAGACAAGTGATGACAGTTATCCAAACGCAAGACTTCAGTATAGATCCACGACATGAAACACAGCTTTGCTGCTACAGTGGGGTATGAGTAGCTTACGGTAATGTTAGACAGACATACTGCTGAGTCAATATCATTACTGAGTCACTTCACTGACCCTGTCGCTTCTCTACCTCTCATCCGTATGCATCCCTAATTATAATGCAAAGGCTTCAGTGGTGTGTGTCCCTGCGACAGCATGGCAATCCGTACAGCTTCCCAGATACCAGCAATGCATGTGACAAGCTCAGTTGAACACAGAAACACAAATTCAGCATGTCATCCCATCACCATCACCCCCCCACCCCCCCTCCTCCCTCCTCCACAGCCGTCTCAGGTTTCTGTGCCACTATGACAGACCACGGGTTTATAAATAACCATAAGCACCATACTGAGAATGTCGGCCATAAAAGGGGCTGGCTTCTGTCGAGGCGCCGTGGGACGGCACAGCGAGCACAAACTGCAGCATGTGGTACGCCGGATTTACGGCGCAGGCACAGCAGCAAAACTTCGTCTTGTTTGTGTGCGGGCCACATTCGCTGGTGAAATCCAACACCATCTGGTATAAAAATAAAAAAACTGTCAACAATAACAGAATAAAACAGCGACAGACGACCCAATGAGAGTTGGTAACCCGCCAAACTTGATCGTCAGGAGAAGAACGCCGTCCGTCAGACATATGAAGGCGTGTGGGTGCTTATCATTCGGGTTCCAGTGCACTGCATTTCCCAGAATCCATTTTTGATGAAAGGCCTCTGAGAACAAAAGTGCCTTTCTTTTAATTTACCAACAAGACAAGAAGTTGTGTATTAAGAGAACTTTTTTATTATATATTTCTTATGTGATTAAGAGTATTTTGTGTAGATAAGATATCTCCATCCGAGCTTAGTTTTTAGAGGCAATGGCTGATCCAAAAAGGCACCTTTATTATCATGTAGCATGCTGTACTGCAATATAAATGTCCTTGGTTCAACGTCGCCCTTCTGATAAATGCAAAGTCTTTAGAAAATACACATAATAATAACAATGATTCTGTTATATTAAACTGCCACAGTGGTTTCTCTGTGAACTTGAAACCAAAGCAGCTACATTTAATTTAATTTAATTAGTTAATTTTATTTGATGTGAAAAATGTATTTTTTAGACTTGTGCTGTTATCATCAAAAGTGAAGTTGTTACTATGGGGGTCCAATGCATTTTGATTAACTCATTAATACAATTGAAAGCAAAGGCTAAATTATATAATATCATTACCTTCATGAAATGTTTTAGATAGACTGCCAAAGTTCAGTCTACTATACCGTACTAAACTATAATTACTATAATATAGAGCTAGTGTCAGTTTGCTGATTGTAGTTGTAGTTAATATGAGAAATATTGAAAGTGAAGCATATTTTTAATCCTTCAGCTTCAGAAGTGGAAGCTAGCTGTTGTGTGAAGCAGGTCAGATTCTATTGTTTGGAGTTATGTGCATGAGAGAGCCAGCATGTGAAGACACATGTGTCTTTGTGATGAGTGGGACATGTTGGATCTGGGTCAGGCCGATCGCAGGAATCCCTGGCATCCACATTCCACTTGCATGTGTTCTATAAAATAAATGTGGGGCTTCTGCATGTGTCTTCGTGGTCTGCGTGTGCCAAAGATTGGATTAAAACCATCTTAAAAAGAGAAGACATTAAATAGTGCATGTGTAATAAATGAAACAGCGCAATATCGGATTGATTTCACTTCCACAAAATGCACCAACTCAGATGGAGTGACTCTAGGAATTTGTAATATTCCAACCAAAAACAGGCCTTTTGAGACGTACATTTTCATTTCACAACCTTCTGCAGCACGTATCTGACCGCTTATACATTTTCTAGGTGCACATGTGGCCTTTGTGGACGCCTGCACAACCTCTTCCTCTGTTGACAGGGGAGAAATAGGAAATGCTCTTGGGCAACACGCATCCACGCCCTAAGGAAAAGTAGAGGAAGAACATTCCTGATGCTGAGAGCAACAACAGCCGAAGCACACACCTCCAGTTTGAATGTCTGGAGAGCCACTGAGCGCATGTGAAATGTTAATTACCTAGTATGTATTTAAAGCTGTGACAAATGTATCCATGGCACATTATGCTAAACTGAAAGTAACCCAGTTCCATCTTCTGACAAAAAAGAAGCAGGAGTGAGACAAAAGGTCACCGAGTCAAAACTCTAACATGCATGATTTTTCTAGAAGCCCGAAATAAAAAGATTTTTAGCACAAAACTTCCTCTAAAACTTCAGCACTCACAAAATAAATGCCGTGCAGACCTTTGAAGCCATCAGACTCTCCTGTTGCACTGTGAGAGTTCAGAGGAACCAGCAGCTGTGTTTCCAACAAGCTCCATGTTGCAGAATCCAGCAACAACCACATGCTCAGCTAGTAGTCACTGCGACGGAGGAATACACGTGGCTTCTCTTCGCTGATGGTAGAATGTTTCTACATGCATTCTCACATCCAGTGTGTTGCATGTGATGCACGATGCAGCCTTCTCTCTTTGGAGTCCGATCAGAAGTGAACAAAACTGATTTGCGCTACTGGGCTGTGCCTGCAAAGTTCCCCCTTCTGTTCCTAAATAAATATGGGGCTTATTAGCATAAGCTAATGCTCAGTGGTTCAAAGTCTTGTCTCCAGATTACTTTCTAATGTTTCCATGAGGCGTGTTGTAAATGGAAAGACTGTAAAACGGTCTTGAATATTTGCTAAATACACGATATGACGCG